ATTAATGAAAAAGAGATTTTTAAAAGAAAAGGAAAGATAAAATAAAGAAATTTGAAGATAAAAGAAACAAATAAACAATCAGCAAAGCAAAGAAAAGCAAATGATTTTAACAATGAGTCAATTGGATGCATTTCTCTTGTGAATCCCTTACGAATCCTTGTTTACAATGACATCCCGCAAAACAAGACTCAATACAGATCTGAAAAACATTCATTTTCACTATTCAAACATTTCGTTACAGTACATTCGACAGTTTCTAACTGAAATATACTGTAGCTTTTGATTAGAGTGTTTCCTCAAACAGAAGAAAGCTAAGAAAACTACTGTACTCCCGATTCTATCTATTACGAATTACGGTAACCAGCTCAACACCTAACCAGGCCTAATTTTGATATTAAAGCATTTCCTATTTTGGTTACTAGATTTTAAGATAATCAATGCCTGGGTTACGGTAACTGGGGCACGCTTTAGAGCAGCTATCTGATTGTGATCGAGATTCGAAAAAGTTGAAGAATTATTGAATTGAATTATCGTACCTCAACTTGCGGTTGCTCACAGCTCGGTTCACACTCTGAGGCGCATGGTCCCACCCATTCCTCGTTGGTGTTGCATGCTAAAGTAATGCATAGCTGCAGGCTTTCTCCTTTAGTCTATAACTCTAGCTCTAATCCTGGCTCTAATCCTGGCCTGACCCAGAAATTTGGTTCTAGAAAAAAAGCACCGAAATTTCCGAGCCTGGTTTGTTTTTAAGCACTCTGAAGTGTCAACTATTTTGAACAACCATTTAACAACCATTTAACATTTTAACAACCATTTAACAACCATTCTAAAGTGTTTACAAGCATTAATGAACTACAGTACCGGACAATGAAATATCATATTTGAAAAACGATCGCCACTTTTGCGCGCGCTGAAATGCGTCAAAAAATACGGTATTTCTAAATATTAATATAACCATTGTGTAGCCCTTGAAAAGAGCTTTCAGAAAATGTATAACACTAATAGTTTAAACTCAAAGACAAGGGAGTTACAGACGTGCGAACGTGACGATCATTTTTCAAATATGATATTTCATTGTCCAGTACTGTATAGGAGATCCAGCTCTTCCCAAGCCTTTTCGAGCGCTTTTTTCAAACTATCAACAGATAGGGTTCTTAAAAGTGAATTTAGAAGATGTTTCATAGAAATAAATGCTATGAAAATATGGTTTAGTCCGGTCTGGGTTAACCATACTCATGGCGGGCTTGACCCGGCCCGCTATGAGTATGGTTAACCCAGCGGGCCTGACCCGGCCTGGCCCAGAAATTTGTCCCTAGAACCAGCCCTGCTTGAAATTGCTGAAATACTTAGAAACACTAGTTTATCGTTTTTTTTCGTTATCGATTGTCTGATTACCTCGAAAGCGTTTACCTCTTGAAAATAAGGTTCGAAAACTTGACTGGAAAGATGCGTAAATATTATAAATCATTATAAGTTACTGTATTTCCGAGCCTGGTTTGTTTTTAAGCACTCTGAATATTATAAATCATTATAAGTTACTGTATTTTAAATAAATAGTATGAAATATATTATAGAAAGTTTAAATTGCAGTTAAATTTAAGCTTTTGTAATGAACTTACTTTGCAAGTGAGCAGAGGACGATCAAAAGTGTCAAGGTGACAAAAATTGACTTCATTTAGGTGAAAATTGATGAGAAATTCGGAAAATAGGTAGAGTTATCGATTTTATTAAAATCTGTAAACAATTTCCCAATTTATCAGCTAACATGCTCTTTGTTGACCTTGAAAATCTTTTTTTAAAAAATTCCTCGTCCAAATGTTCAAAGTGACGAATGGGGAAATAAGAAAGATTTCAATTTGCTTCGAGAGTTTATTTACAAATAGAAATCTGTAGATTTTAGTTGAGTTTCTCGGGGAAATCCCCGACTTTCACACATTTCCCATCAACTTCTCGTAGGAATCCCTTCTCACATTCACAACCCCAGAAACCATCGAGAGTCCTAAATTTTGGAGTTTTTAAAAGAACATTTTGTAAATCATTTTGAAAAGAAACACTCTAGAGAAAGCTTTCGTAAACCACTTCAAGAAAAGTTAGACTAAAGCTGAAGCTGGGATTGGGAGTTGAGCTAGTGAAAGCTCAAGAGTTGAGTTAGTGAAAGCTCAAGAGTTGAGCTAGTGAAAGCTCAAGAGTTGAGTTAGTGAAAGCTCAACTCTTGAGCCGAATCTTTAGCTCAAGGAGTGATCCCAGTCGGTTAGGACTAAGAAAAGCTTAAGCCTGGTTTACCGGTTTCAAAATCACCTTGAATTCAGCGAAAGCAAGGACGAAGATCGTGCTCGAGCTTCGCAAAGTTTTTCAGTAAAGAGGAAATTTCACGGAAAGGTTCAGGCTTCGTAACTCAATGGGCTTTCCGAGACAATTAACATCACAAATTGGATACATACAGCAAAAAAAAGCCTAGATTGTAGACTTTAATTTAGCCGTAATTTGAAAGTTTCCTTGAAAGCTCATTAAACTTTAGTTTTATTCAGTTTTGCTGTTTTGTTTTACTGGTGAGTGCTAGCAGGGATGTCAATGTGTGAAAGGGAAAGGATTAGTGAGAAATGATGACGGGAAATGTATTAAAGTCGACGTTGGATCGAAAAAAGTTTCATTTCATTTGAATTTCAATAAATTTGCATTTATTTGCATTGATTTGCATTGATTTTGCACAAAGTAAATCTCAATATTTATCAAACACTCATCATTTCTCCGATTTGGTTACTTTTCTCTTCAAAATTCTCATCCAGGCCTTTTGTAGAAGGGTTTTGATGGCTTTTCGATAAGGTGAAATGATAAAAAACATCGTGATCGTGTTCACATTTGAATGAAAATAGAAAACAACTGTCAACTTTTCAGCTAAAAGGTATTCAGGTATTCAGGTAAAAGGTGGTGGCCCTCATGGTGTATTGGTTAAGTTCTCACTTCCAAACTGAGGGTGTGGGGTTCGGCCCCCCTAGGGTTCTCTTCCCTAGCCCGTGCGCCCAGACTAGAGGTGTCTTCTCTAGAGCTGACTAGAGATCCCTTCTCTAGCGGAGTTCACTCTTCCACTGGGTTGGCCCATTCATGGCCTGAGGTTATTAAAGCAAGAAGCCTATCTTCTATCTATCTTCTTTTCTCCCCGCCTCCACATCGCCGAGTAAAATATCTCATCATTCTCTATGTATTTATGTGTAGATTTGTGTATTGTCTGACTGATTACGCTTTATTTCATGTCCTGAATAAAGTATCAATATATATAATATATTCAGAAGGTATTATACTCAATGGTATTATACTAAAAGGCTAAAAGGTATTCAGATCAGTTTTATTATACTCAATCAAAACTTTTACTTACCAAAATATTTAAAATCTAGCACTAATGCAGAAAATAATAAATCAACGGTGGGGAAAAAGTAGACAAGTGTGCCGAGGAGGGTCTGGAAAGGTTTGGATTACGGTAACTGGAGAGGGAAAGGTGACTGTGCAGTCACTGTACGGAAAAGAGTCTTGTTTTGCAATGATTTCCATTTTGCAAGCATCATTATTGTAAGGTTTTTGGAATTATGATGCTTTAGTCAAAGAAGCAAGTAAAAAAACAAGAGTCTGCTCCCATTTCCTAAACCGTACCTTTTTCTCTCTCTTTTCTACCATTTCTACCATTTTCTTTTCTAAACCTTGTCTGCTTGTCTGCTTGTCTGCTTGTCTGCCTTGTCTGCCTTGTCTGCCTTGTCTGCCTTGTCTAACCTTGTCTGCTTCCCCCTAATCTTGTCTCAAATTTTATCAAATCTATCCACTTTTTGTATCTTTCAATATCATTTTTCAAAAAATAAGACAAAAAGTAAATAGATTAAATAAAAATACAGGGTGCGTCATAATTATTGCAACAAGATACTCAAGGCATTGCACACCTTGAGGAGTCGCCTTCCATCCTTGGGTCAAAGAGCAGACATTAGCCTCTAAGATTGCCCAAATGGAAAAGTCCATCACATTGAGATCCGGTGAGTTTGGAGGCCATTCATCCTTGGTGATCACTGAGGGAAAGTTGGCCGATTACAGTCCTTGGTGATCACTGAGGGAAAGTTGGCCGATTACAGTCCTTGGTGATCACTGAGGGAAAGTTGGCCGATTACAGTCCTTGGTGATCACTGAGGGAAAGTTGGCCACACACCAGTCCTGAACCGTCTTCTTCGTGTGAGCGGGAGGCAATTAGGCAAGAATAGAACAAGAATAAAGAATATAGAACGCAACACAACAAAAAAGGGGGCAAAAAAAATAAGAAAGCTGTTTGGAAAACGGTCTTTGAACTCTTGTTGCAATAATTATGACGCACCCTGTAGAGACAAGATTACGGTCAGAAGAGAAAATAAACCCATCTTAAAGAAACAAATTGGAAAAACTTACTTGAATGATCAAAGATTTAATAATACTTTTCTGTGCCCGATGCATTCGCCGACTAATGAAAACTTTTGAGCTGCTTAATCGGTAGATTACTCGGAAAACCGAGAAGAAGATGATGGCAATAAAGACGGAGAACTAAATTTGGAAAACTTGAAATTTGAAACTTGAAATTTGAAATTTGAAATTTGAAATTCCGGGATTGACACCTCGATCACCCATGCCCATAGAATTTCGTTTATTCGGCTGATCTCCGCTGGCATAATCACCCAATTGGTCATGTTCAGCAAGTGGTGACTGTTTGGGTAATGCTGAAATGAAGTGATCAAGTGCAGAATCGAAAAGATGACGATATCTCTCTTTCCACCTCTTCCACATATCCATTCTGTGTCTCTCGATCCAAGCCAGCCATTCCCACTGTATACCCGTTTCGAATGCTAAACAAGAGGTGAAGACAAAGAGCAGTCTGGAAATTTCAACCATTTAGACAAAAGTAGTCAGTCAAGTATCTACAAACATTGAAATTCCATCATTTCCTTACACAAGCTTGTCTAAACGGTGTCCCGTGTCCCCATCGATGTCCCTCAATTGCCCAAAGTCGACTCAGAAAACAATTCACGATGGCGATATTGCAATTGTAGACAACGATTAGGGAGAAGATCTGGATAAAGAGGGTTTTTGAAAGAAATTGTGACTACAAAGTTATTGTAGAAACAATTGTAACAATAGCACTTTATTCGAAGTACGATAGTTGTCATGACAAGACTCTTCCTCTTACCATTTCAGGCCAAATCCAACTTGGCGGTGAATATGCAAAGAGACAAGCCGGTGACATGTAAACTCCCTCAAGTGGGAAGAGGAAACCCACACAGAAAAATGAATTGTAAACAAAATCGGAGATGAAAGCCCAGATCTGAATCGAGAAATTTCCCATTGTCCTACTCTATTTAATTCTGATTTGCATCTCAAAGATTACCAATAAATTGAGCAGAAAATATTTATAAACAGCCATTTCTTTTGTGCTGTGCCGGAGAATGATATAGACACCGAAGCCATTGATGAAAAATATTAGCACCGCGTTCGTTCGCCAAATCAGCTGAATGCGTTTGATCTTTAAAGATTTCCCAAGTGAATGGATGCATGATTAGATGCAAGATCAGCAAAAATTGTTTGTCAGACTTTAGCTCAACAGTATCCAACACAAGATTCAACCAAAAAACTCGAAAAACCAAAAACCCACCACCAGCCACAGCTGCGTATCCACCGGGATCACGACTTCGTTAACCCACATAAAAATGCAAAGTTTCAGCTTCGATACCAAAATTTCCGATAATTATGGTTTCGGAAAAAAAATCGATACTCTCAAAAAGCATAATCACGGCTCTTTTTCATCCTTTGAAGAGACAAAAATGACAAAAAAACAGTGAAAGTTGTAATTTTGTTGAAATAGCAATTTTATCTGAAAGTTAAGAAGCTCAATTCTGAATCACCCAATCCAGATTCGTATGTGCTTCTAAAGTTAAAACATAACAAAATAGGTTCTGGTTCGATTACAGGCAAAGTCACTGCCTTGCTAAAATTCTTAAGCTACGCTTGACAAATCGTTTCATATTCACATTATCCACCTTTCCAATGTCACTGAAATTTTATCGCTTCAAGATTTTAAAATCGATGAAAGAAAACAACAAAAAAATATCCAAGTAAACACATAAAAACAAAACAAAATTAAATTAACTTTTTGAAATACATTAATGTCGCATAACATTGCAGATCGTAGTGGTTTTTGAGTTGCTCAGAGTTCTCTGAATTGATACAATCGATTGTGAAACCTTCCTGCTCCTTGGTGAAATTCTGGGCGGTTGGGGCGGCGGCTGGCGATTTGGCGGGCGTCTGTTGCACGACCGGGGGAAGGGTCACTAAAAAAGATAAGATAAAATTAAGTACACAAAAGCATACACAAAGCAGCAGAAGCGAGGCCGGTAGCAGAAGAGAAGCCGGTTGAGGGCAGAGAAGTTGAGGGCAGAGAAGTCGAGGAGAGGGTCGTGGAAAGCGACGTGATGGAGCCGTGGTCGATTGGCGGAGCCAGCAAAGCATCGAGCGCCGGGAAGGCACGTTGCTCGGTCAGAGGCGGAGGCACCTCGCCGGCATCCATGTGAAGCATGATGTCGGCGCCAGTTGCTTGCTGCTCGCAAAAGTTGGCGAGCTCGATCGCTAAAACCAAGATTTAAGAGATTTGAAAAGAAAAAAGACATACCGAAGTGGTCGCTGGCTGTAATTGGTTTTCGGCCGGGTCCGAGCGGCATCCCGCACTCTTGAATGGCGATGGCAAACTGGTCGCAGACTTTGAGGCCGTCATCGTCGTCTCCGACACCATCGTCTTGTCCCTGGAAATTTTAAATATAATTAAGTAGAGCATAAACACAAATAAATAGTATAGACAAATAGCAAATTTACCTCACGACTTTGCACTTCTTGTTCCACCGTTGATTCTACATTTGTCGTTGAACGAGCTCTTGAACCAGCTTTCGGCTTCGGTGAAGATTCGCGACTTGTTTCTTTGCTCGTTGCAGCTTTCCTCTTCATCGATGAACGAGCTCGGGAATCCTTTTCTTCATCTTTTGTCGTGCGAGTCGGCGTCTTCATTCCACTTTTTGACCGTGACGAGCGGGCTCGTCGCTTCTTCCGCTTCACCTTTGTCTTCTCGTAATCCATGAGCACGTGCGGACATCCTTTGAACGATTGTCTCGGTTCCCACGTCATCTCATCGTAGCCAACCCATTTCGTTTGGTAGAGAAACTCCCCTTCATGAAAGGCGTCGGCGAGAATTTTCTCGACTTCGTACATCTCTTCTTTCTCTTCATCGTTTGACTCGGCAATCTTCGTGGGCTGGCTCGATGCGGTCTTTCGTTTCATCGTGGACAGCCTAAAATGAGAAACTTAGTTAATGTGCAAAAAAATAAATAGAAAAACAATGAAAATATACAAAAAGGGGTCAAATCTTGGATTCCTAGACTAAATAGCTTTAAATCCGTTAAAAACGTCAAAGACGAAGCATTAATGGGTCGATACTTCCAAATATTTGCATCTTTAAGTAGTAAATGTTGTTTAAAATCGTTAAATCAGCGGAAATGCGAAATTCGGGAGTTTTTATTGAAAAAACAAATGAATGAATGGATTTAAAAATGGACTATAAAACGCGCCAGAAAGGGGCACAGTTTAGAAAACGAGAAAGCGTCGTTTTTTGGGGAAATTGTTTTTCCACACAAATGATGTAACTGTCAAGTGTTTTTAGCATTTAATTGTATATTTAACGTACTAAGCATATAAGCGTTGATGAAAACCGTTAAAAAGCCGCTCAACGTCTAGAAATGCTAAACGAGGCTTTAAGGCGTACTTTATGCTCAAAAGTACGTAAAGACACGTTTTCTGGTGCACTCAAATCTCTAACCATTCCGGATCATCGATTTTAATACGCATAGTTTAACGATATCAAAAAAGGATAAAAAGACAAATTTTCAGATCAGGACGAAACTCTAGCTAAATTTTTGCAAAATCTCATATCAAAATCAAAGCAAAAAAATATCAATGGACTTCCTGCATTCACAAAAATTCTTCTACACCAATTCAAAGATTTATTTGAGTACAAATATTCCCCAGAAAAACACCAATTCACAAATCATTCGCATTTCTTGCATTTTTCCTCAAAATTCCTCGGCTTCTTCTTCGTACAATCGAGTGAGATCAGAAAGAAGACAATCCGTAAACTCTTCAATATCGGCTCCATTCTTGCGCCAGTATTTGATCAACTAAATAGAATAAGCAATAAGTTTACTCATTCAAAATTAATTCATAAAAATTACTCACATCTTTCCCAGCCCACGTACTTTCTTTGCACAGTCCAATGTGTATGACGAGATCTTCAAGCACCGGATAAACCTACAAACTTCTCATAGCCTCTGTATGGAAAGTGTCTACCTCTTTAGTCGAGTGTTGCAACTTTTCTTGCATCTCGGGAGTCCATGCACGATTCTCGGAGAAAACGAGCAGACGACCAATCGCAGCAGCAACCAATGATGGCTTCACAGAGGTCAACGATGGGGCGAAAACTGAAAAAAAAACTTTGATAAGCTACGGTAGATAAAAACTATAAAACTTCACCTGAAAGAACAGCTAAAAGCTTTGCACGGGAATGTCGTTGGTTGGAGAGGCGATCACGGGATGAGAGCGGGGTGATTGCTTCCTGGAAAGATAAAAAAATAAAACATATTACAATTAAAACCCTACTAGAACCAAGCGTGTAAAATCCATCACCGAGTGTCGGCCGAGCTCGAAATTGCAAAGTTCTAGGAGCTGGAAGAAATTTTTAGAACAAGAACAGAAATTTAGATCAACCACATGCTCATAACGATTGATCTCGGCGATTTTAAAAGGTGCGAACAAGGTCCTCGGCAAGGGGGCACTAAAAAAAATTGATAAACTAACAGCTACTATAACATTAGATCTTTTTTTCAAAAATAAACCTGTGTCTCGAATTTGACGGCCAATTGAAGAGCGGCAAGGCCAGCAGATTCGAGTCGTTTTTCCTCATCTTTCAGCTGAGTACCCGATAGTAACTAAGATGTTGTAAATAGACAAAGTCACGTGAAAACTCACCACAAGAAAACGATCCAACAAGTGCACGGCGAGGAAAAAGCTGTTCGTCGGGTGATAGCAAGGCTAAAACTAAAGTAACAAGTAGATTTCTTGAATTTTACATGATAGCTCCAAATCTCGTGCAACCAGGCATAGTAGACGGTCCTTTTGCGATCACCGAACTGCGAATGGTCGAAGTTGATGGGTAGAAACTAAACAAAATGAAATTGAATGGATTCAAAGCACCGATTACCTGATATGCGTACATGTAGAGAATATTATCAGCGAGGATTGATGCGCATCGCTCGTCACTCACATTTGACACAGGGAGATTCGCGCGTGGCTCGACATCGCCTCCAATTGGCTCCTAAAAGCTCAAGAATTTAAGAACCATTACTTTTTACGAGTCACAAAGAAACTCACCTCCACGCGATGTCTGACCAAATTCGAGAGCACTCCCTTGAAGCGGCTGTAGATGTGAGTGGCCATCGAAACGCCTGTGCTTCTCTAAAAAAAGACAAAAGTTATTGGACTTATAATTTAACTAACTTATAATATACTTATAAAATACTTATAATATAATTCTAAGTTACTTACTCGATTTCCAGGAGCTTCCGAGGCAGAACGTCGCAATTTCTCCGTCTTTTGCATGGCTCGGCGCGAGACCTGAAGAAAATGACAGTAAAAAACTCTAATAGAACGCCCCCTCCCTATAGGAGCGCCGCGTAGTCTAAGTTTACTCTCAAAAGAACCGCTCATATCTCGACGCACAGACATTTGCTTCTGCGCGCTTGGGTATCAAATTAAAGTAGAGAGAGAGTGGATGATTTCTCGAGATATAACACATACTTTTAGCATTAACCAGCGCTAACCAGCATTAACCAGCGAAAATCGGCTCTTTTTTTGCCACTTTTCAATCATTTTGTTCTAAGCGCTGGTTAATGCTAGAAACAAGTGTTATATCTCGAAAGATCACCCATTATCTCCACTTTAATTTGATACCTAAGTGCACAGAAGCAAATGTCTGCGCATCGAGATATGAGCGGTTCTTCGAGAGTCAACTCAAATTACGCGACGCTCCTATAGTGGGTTTCTGTTAGAGTATTTACGGTAACTTAAGATAAATCCCTAAGCACAACACAATCAAATATATAAAACCGACCACATTTCTTTGATCTTGCAGTGGGGCCCTTGATCGATCGATGTGTCCCTCGATTCGCATATTCCGCATCGTTGTCCATTTTGTGGCTCGTGGTGGCATCTTCTCGATCGCCTCATCTTCGTTCACTTCGCCCTAAAATTAAATCACTTACAGCACTCCTTCTATCAGAATTTATCAGCCTATTAGGTCTCAAAAAGTACACACAATAAGTGCTGGGACGAATGATTTCCTGATTTTTTTGCTCAAAACAAAAGACATTTGGTATTAGCACGAGCCAAGTATGTTATGAATTTATTTTTTTTTTTGAAAAGAGACAAAAATTTCACTCACAATCGAGACAGAGATCGAGCGGCGACGTGTAGAATTGGCCATCTAAAGCAAAAAGTTTTTAAATTCAAAAATTTCAACAAACTTAAGCTACCTTAAACTCAAAAACAATAAAATCAAAGAAAACTCACATCGTCAATTCGTTGAAAATTTGCTAGTTCAGACGAATTTGAAGTGAATCGACGAGAAAGCCGCGGAGAGAAAGTGACATGAAATGAAATGAAAATGAAATGGAGGGAAGAAATTACTTACTTTTAAATCGTGTTTAAATGCAAATTTGCCATGTAAATTTAATCTTCAAATTCATCGAAGTTGACTGAAATTTGGGTTTAAGTTGCCATATAAAACCTTTTCGAAGAAAGAGAAAATCATTCTTTTCGCATGCGTCTCTTCGTTCTCATCTCTTTCCTTGCCGTCGTCGTTACTTCACTTCGAGAAGAGCCGGGAGTCACTGGAAAAGATGCTGTTTGTTTTTTTGTAACGTTTTTGACTTCTTCTTCGCATAGTGAAGTTGTTTTTGATAAGTTTCGTTGAAAGTGTTCGGCGTTACCTTCTTGTTGTTAAGTTCAAATTAAAATTGGGCTAGATTTGTGCACAGTTTGCCAAGAAAAGAAAGCATTTCAGCTCTAGCATCATTTAAAGAGTGTATTTGGATCAAATTAAACCAATTGCTACCACAAAATCACTATTTTCACTATTTTTATTTACTTAACCGGCTCAACTTGTTAATATTTTGTTGTTCAGTCCGCAACAACTTCAAAAACGACGACAAATTTGTATCCTATTGACGAGGTGAGAGAGAATTTTATGTTTTTATCGATTTCTTGATTTAGGGAGCCAACAAAGACGACCATTTGGACGGTTTTTTTCAAAAATAAACTACTGATCTTTGTTTTTAGACAACAAACAGTCTAGAAGTGTCCACAACAACTCCATTAGTAAATGAGAAGTGCGAAATCATCACATTGCCGATAGAATGCTACTATTACTCCGAAAGGCTAATGACACATCGTGAAAAGGTCTTTTTCTTGACATTCTTAGCTTTAACAACTCACATTTTAGATACGGGAAAACGTTTGCGATTGTGCGATTGGTGGTCGAGAGAACGAAAGCACCAAGTACTGTGAATGGAACAAAATTTATCAAACGAGTGGGTTTTTTTGAGTATCTTTACTTGTTTTGAAATCAATTTAGATGGAACACATTTCGATCAGTGCACGATTGTAACGAAAGTTTGCCCGGGATGCCCGCCAACGAATGATACGTGCAAGGACGCGTTTAGCAATGAGTTTACAAAGTAACGTTCGATTTGTCTTTTAAATCACAACTCAAATGTTCAGATGTTTCATGCCAGCAAGCCAATACCCACACACATTTCCCCCGCATCAAGCCTCGGTGCTCCCGTCTTTGGAGTTGGACCTCAAGAAGTGTGATTATAGGAATAATTCGGTATGTAATTGCTGTTTCTTCATATTCTTGATCAACTTTAGGGAATGTTCTCTGGAATGACGTCGGTTAGAGATGAGGAGTTCTACCAGTATCTGCTGACTTGCGAACTTCCAGCGTGTGGACCTCGTCTTCGCTTACCGGCAGCAGATAATGGGACTCATCCGAGGTATGGTCGTTTTTAGGTCCTGACCTTTCGCTCAACTTAACTTTAGCTTAACATCTTAGGCTTTGAACATTATCGTTCTCATTAAATTGTTATTCTTTAGCTTCCAATGGTGTCTTCCTCCTATCATGAATAGCGTCTCACAGTTGGAAGTTAGTTGATATAAATCTTTGGCTTTGGTACATTGATCGAAAATTTAGTATTGTCCACTCTATGCGCAAAAAATCCCGACTTTTGGTGGTTTCAGCGACACTCAAGCTTTTCATGCGCTCGAATATGATACGGTTTGTAGTATTACATTGTTAAAAACTTGTTTTGATTTTAGATGTGTGTCTTGCCGCCACTATGTGGGAATGATGGAAAAGTTGATCGGTGAGGATTTTAAGCGACTTTTTGATGAAATCTTTATTTCCAGAAAGAAATTCATGGCTCCATTAGTGAATGGCAAATGGGATGAGACTTATTGTGAGCGAGTGTGCAATGAAAATGAGATGTGAGTGGTTTCGATTAGAAATTTTACCTTTAGTTTGGCTAAAGTATGTCGATTCTAGCTTATACGTTTCTTTTTAGAGAAAAAGATTGCATCCCGGTGCCGCCATGTGAAGGAAATCAAACAATCACTCCTGATCCACGTGCAAATCGATTTACAAAGGTTAGTTTTTAAAAGCAATAGTTATTATTAGGTTGGACTCATCAATTCTAGGTTGATCGATGCGCACGTTGGTGCACTGAAGAAGAATCTGTCAAGCTGTCAACCGATTCGCCGTGCATTCGACTCCCAATATGTGATTTCGATGGAAAGCCGGTAATATTTAATATTTAAAAAATAATTTACAGTAAAAACTCTAACAGAAACCCCCTATAGGAGCGACGCGTAATCTAAGTTTACTCTCCAAAAAAAACGCTTATCTCTCGACAACGGTACGTTTATTTTTGCGCGCTTGGGTATCAAATTAAAGTAGAGAGAATGGGTGATTTTTCGAGATATAAAACATATTTCTAGCATTAACAAGCGCTTAGAACAAAACGATTGAAAAGTGGCGAAAATCGGCTTTTTTTGCCACTTTTCAATCATTTTGTTCTAAGCGCTGGTTAATGCTAAAAATAAGTGTTATATCTCGAAAAATCACCCATTATCTCCACTTTAATTTGATACCTAAGTGCGCAGATGCAAATGATGTCTGCGCGTCGAGATATGAGCGGTTCTTTGAGTGTAAACTTAGACTCCGCTACGCCCCTATAGGGGGTTTCTGTTAGAGTATTTACGGTACATTCATTTACAAGTTCAATGTTTTTTCTTTAGAGACCTCGCCTGAACCCTTGGCACACTTCTCGCTGCGTGATGATCAAGAATTGTATCGAAGGACAGAACAAGTCCACGGTTGGATTTGATCATGCCTATTTTTAAGCTTCATTTCAGCATTTATGCAAAGAAACGGTATCACTAGACAATCAAGTGAGTGCTAATGGGCTTTTCGTTTTCATGTTCATGTTTTAGAATCTCTCATCTCCACATTTTGCTGGTCGAATAGGTATGTTTTCGTGACTTGTTTCATAATAAAGTTAAACTAATACAGTTTTGGAACAAGTAGTAGTCTCTTAGTTACATATTAGAAGAGTTTTTAATTTTTAGTGGCTAGTGTGATTTCTTTGGCTGCGTGTGGTCTACTAATTTTGTGTACACTGAGCTGTTGCCTGTTTGAAGTCGAAAGATGGGATCAAGAAAAGAAACGTGAAGTGAGTTGCTTTAGCTTTTTGAAGCTTAATCTTCATTTGGACATAGGATTTAGCTAACCGAACTGTTGCGCTAGTCTAGAGGTTAATCTTTGAACTTTAGGATGAATGCCGAGAGCGTGGATTGGAATGGAAGGATTATAAACGATTGAGAGAGGCTTTTTGCAAAGAGGTTGGTTGTTTTATGTTCAACTATTTGAGTTATTTGTGATTTTAGAGTGCTTTGGGAAACTACAATCCTCGCAATCTTCGTCAGGGTAGCTTTCCTTATAAATTCTTTCTAACTTGTATGAAGTATTGTTATAGTACTATCCTTTTTACAGTAGTTTGACTAATACCATTTGTTTAGCCCTTGTCACTGCTCGGAAACGACTCATAGGGGAAGAAAAAGAGGGCAGCCAACGAACGACAACACTAGAACCAATCCCACAACAACAACAACAGGAAAAACTGGAGAAGACTAAAAACACGGACAAATAAGGTATTAGTGATTATTGTTTTATTCCACAAACTTACAAATCTTTGTATTTAGTGAAGACGAACGATTTGTGAAGCTCGACTTCTTTCGATTAATTAAACGAAGTCGAGCTTTGAAACAAAAATGCGCAATTCTTTTAAGTCTTTTTGATCTCGTGTTTTTTTGAGAATAAAGAAGGAAAATGTCTGTGAAGTGATGGATTTGTACTTGACTTACCGTATTTACTCGAATAGAAGACTGGTCTCGATTATAAGACCGTCTCGAATAGAAGACCTATCTTATATTCAAGGTACCCTGTTTTTGGGGTCTAGGGGGTGAATGAAAAAAATAGAAGACCGGCCTTCTATTCCAGTAAATACGTTATAATTGTTAGTAACCTATTCTACCGTAATCAGAGAAAATATTACGATACTTTGCGAAAGTGGACACGTTTTAGAAGACAATTAGGCATTACGGTAGAATAGTTGTGAATTTATCCAATCAATTGTCCAATTATCACGGTAGATATGCTTGTATTTATCACAATCCAATTATACGACCAACAGATGAGAAAAATGAGCAGATCTTGGACAATTCTATATGGGAAATTGTTGTACAAGGGAAAGCTTATAAGTGTTATTCAATTTCTTCGAATTTCTATCCAATTCGTTCACCAATTTGTCAAATGGAGTCTCTTCCCGTTGAAGTCGTCTCGAAGATCTTTGCGCATCTTGTCAAAGATCCTCAACAACATGGGATTGGGTTGGTTTTTGAAAGCAATTTTATTGTTGTTTAACTTTTTGACTAAACAAGTAAAATTGGCTAGACTTTCTAAGCAATCTTTTTATTTCAGTGAACTCGAAACGATTCGTCGTTTGACCGAAGTGTGGCCTTGGATCGGAAAAGTTGTCGTCTACAAACCAACGACTATCCGAACACTCGAGATTTTGAATGATCAATTTTTCGTTGATGGATTGAGACTGACTGATGAAGAGCAACGGTGGGTTGTGGATCGGATTATAGATAGGATTGGATTGGATAGGATTGGATAGGATTGGATAGGATTGTGGATAGGATTGTGGATAGGATTGAATAGGATTGTGTATAGGATTGGATAGGATTGGATTACAGATAGGATTGGATTGGATTGTGGATAGGATTAGCATGGTTACATAAAATTTCTTCCAAGACATACCAATTTGTGCTAACTGTAGGGTTACTGTAGCTAAAACGAAGTCATTATTGTATTGATTACTGTACTCAATTCGATCTTTTTTAAGCTATCTTCCCTATTTTCATCCAGAGATGATCCGAATCAAAGAAATGCCGACTGTTGACCTGCTCGCCTCAACAAAATACAAGGAAACTCTACGAAAAGTGTCCACCAATTGCAAACAGATTGTGAGTTTTGTTAAGAAATGGAATGGGCTAGAGATTACGCTAGTTTTTAGACGTAGTTTACTCAGTTTTAAAGGTAGTTTACACATTTTACAAGAGCTTACCCCCAAGATTTCAGATTTTCGAGCACTTTCACCACTCAATCGACAGCATCGAGCAACGTGAGCTCATCATTTCCTCTCTGCACCCCAATCCATTCAATCACTGCCATCGAGAGATCCATTTCCGCACCAATCCCGAGCTCTCAATCATCGACGCGTACACTCACCTCTTTCATCATATCCATTTCGAGACCCTCCAAATCGATCACCACAATTTCTCCTATATCATCTGGTGCTTCATGGTCTCCCCAATACTTAAAACCATACGCTTCCCGCCGATCTTCTTCCTTCCGTTCAATCTTTTCACTCATTTACATGATTCGGATGGAAAACGATTATCCGATTTCTCATTATTCAAGAATGAGACATCGACCGCTTTCCTTCTTCGTGCTGATCAAAAAGATTGGGGCTGGTTGTTCTACAATTCGAAACTCACTCATCCACAATTTGAATATCAGAATTTTCCAAAGAACTTTCAAATCTTTGCCAAAGTTTTCATCGAGATCGATCATGTGATTTTTGTGAAAAGTGATGAGAAATGCTGCCGAGATATGCCGAAAGCTAGCTTTTCTCAGGAATATTTGTGATTTCTCCGATAGCTTTGCTCATATTGAAGTCGTTTTTTCTATTCCAATTTTGCACCTCTTTATTAGTCATTTCCTAAAAAGTGGCCCACCGTATCCCGACATCTTTTTTGGCTACCGTAATCAAGATGTTTTTCAGACGAAAACACCAAATTTCTCATTTGGTCCGAATTTAATATTTTTTTTATTTCCAATTGTTGCGAATTTATTTATTTTTCTTGTTAATTTATTCTATTATCATTATTCTATTGATTCTATTAGGTTGTCCGGAAATAAATGAGCGTTTTTAAGTTGAATATTTAAAGTACCATAACTTGATCCAAACAAAACTTTATTAATCGAAATAAGAACCATTACAATTAACACATTCTTGCCAACGAGAAACAAGTTTATTTATGCTGGTAGCATAGATGTCCGGGCTTCTGGTGGCGATAAAGTCGGCGAAGGCGTTTTTGGCATCATCTTGAGTGTTGTAGCACTTCTCCTGGAGAAAGTTGTCGAGGTGCTTGAAAAAGTGGTAGTCGGTAAGCAAAAGATCAGGCGAATATGGCAGGTGAGGCAAAGTTTCGTAGCTCAGTTCGTTTAGCTTTTGCAGGGTCGGTTGTGCGACGTCCGGACAAGCGTTGTCGTGGAGAAGAATTGGACCTTTTCTGTTGACCAATGCCGGGCACATTCGCCGCAACTTCTGGTGCATTTGGTGATTTGTTGGCAGTACTTCTTCGCCGTAATCGCTTCGCCCGGATTCAGAAAGCTGTGATGGATTAGACCGGCTGCGGACCACCAAACAGTCACCATAACCTTCTTTTGGTGCAAATTTGGCTTTGGAAAGTGTTGTGGAGCCTCTCCGGCGTCCAACCACTGAGCGGAACGTCACCAGTTGTCGTAGAGGATCCACTTTCATCGCACGTCACGGTCCGGTCGAGAAATGGGTCGTTTTTGTTGCGCTGAAGAAGAGCAGACGACACCTCAAAACGACAATTTTTTTGATTCTCGTTCAATTCGTGCGGCACCCATTTATCGAGCTTTTTTGACCTTCCAATCCGTTTCGGGTGGCCGGAAATCATCGTCTTGGCCACGCCAAGCTCCTCCGCAAGCTTTCGAATAGTCGTACGTGGATTTGCTTCCACCAGGGTCTTCATTTCGTCGTCATCGAGTTCAACAGGACGGCCAAGGCCTTCCTTATCTTCGAGATCCAAATCATCACCTCGGAATTTTCGGAACCAAGTTCGCACTGTTGACTCGCCGACACTGCCTTGGCCCCAAACTTCGTTAATGTTACGAGCCGCTTCAGCTGCATTGTGACCGAGTTTGAACTCATAAAAGAAAATCTGGCGAAAGTTAGTTTCGGACATCTAAAACGGCGAAGCTTAAAATTCGCAAAAAATTTTATTTTCAGCAAAATTTAAAAGCATCGTTAAAGAGAGTGCGAACTCAGCTTTCTAATGGTATATAACATTACAAGGTACAGAGCATACTTTATTGAGAAAAATGCACCCAAATAATAAACAATACAAAACGCTCATTTATTTCCGGACAACCTAATATTATCTCTATTATCTCTATTATCAAATATCATTGATAGTTCAAAGAAAAAAATAGTTTTTTTTCCTGAAAAGAACCCAAAAATTCGAAAATCTCATATGCAGAACCGTTTTTGCCTAAAAAATGCACCCATTTTCCAAAAAAAAAACTAAAAAAATTTACGCTGAAAAACGTTTTTCTTGAGTTTTCCGTAGAATCGCTTAAGAAATTTCATTGTTTTTTGCTCGAAAACATGAAAAACGTTTGTTCAAAGTTCAAAAAAACAGGCAAACACCATAGAAACACGAGGAAAATTCGACTTTTTCCTCGTTTTTCCTTTTCTTTTTGGCTGATTTTTAAATAGCCGAATGCGGGGAAAAAGGAAAAAGTGATTGAAAAGCGACTGGGTGATTGAAGATTTCAAATGCCGGATTTTTCTACTTAACAAAAGTCTTCTTTGACGTTTTTGAGAAAACTTGGCAATTGTTTACAAAGCTGAACAGACAAATTGATACTGTTTAATGAAAACTATACTAGGAGCCTATGTACTACTATTTTATAATCCGGTTGTACCTTTACGGTTAGCGGGGGGTCGAGCTTTTGACCAACTTGCAGCCCGATTTTATTGATAGGCTTTTATTGAGAATTTTTTTTATGAAAAAAAATAGTTTCTGAAAGCTGATTTTCTAAGCTATCCAAATATTATGAAAACTTTTTGATCTGACAAGTTTAAGGTGCTTAAAAACAAGCTGCAAGTTGGTCAAAAGCTCCGACCCCCACGAAAAGTAGTTCCGGATTCTCCCCACCCGGTTCCCAAATGAAAATAGATTTCTTTCCCATTTCAAGAAAAGAAACACAAAATTTATCGCGTAAAACAATAATTTCAATCAATCCGACAAAAACATAACAAAAAAACAAAATGATTTTAAAAAATGAAAAAGAAACGACGACGCGACGCTCCCATCGACGACATCGAAATGGCGGCGACGTGAATTGGAATGCGACGTCGCGCGAAAACTAACATTTAAAATTTGCGACAGAAATTAAAATTTAACATGAAAGCGTCTCGAAATCATTCTCTACTATTACCGTATTTCTTCGAATAGAAGACCGGGTAAAGAGTATCATCGCGTACTCTTGCGTAGCAGCCCTTTTTAAAATTTCTTTCCTGCATAAAAGCTTTCAATCAAGTGCTATAGAGCTGGAAAATGACTCAAAAATACGACATTCACTAACAGATTTTTGAGCCATTTTCCAGCTCTATAGCACTTGATTGAAAGCTTTTATGCAGGAAAGAAATTTTAAAAAGGGCTGCTACGCAGGAGTACGCGATGATACTCTTTACCCGGTCTTCTATTCGAAGAAATACGGTATTTGGTAAACAGTTACCGTACAGAGTAGCACAGAGTACTGCTACTGGATCCAGAAAGGAAGTGGCTATTGTGTTCTTTGATTTCAGCCAAATGGTCTCGCCTAGTTCTGACCGGGTAACTCTTAGAATATGCCTAAACTAAAAAAAAAAATCTCTATATTTAATTGCAGAATTGTGCATTTGTAATCTAGCTTTGTGTGCATCGATGCAAGTCACAGATAAATCGTTTTGAAAACTTCAATCACCCAGCTCATACCTTAAAAATCCTGTTTCTTTTCTCAAACTTTTTTCCATTTCCACCTCGTTTTTTCATTGTCTTGTGTAAAAGTGCTTAAAAATTGACGGAAAAGAAAGCGAATTTCCCCCACACAAACACCAAAAAAATACCGTATTCCGTGGATAAAAGAAAACCACAAAACAGAATTTTCTCACTTTTTTCGGGAAATGATTCAAATTTTGAGTTTTCTGGCTTTTTTGTGGCTGAATGAGATTCGATCGGCTGGGGTGAGTCGATAGGTTTAGTCTTGGCCTTGGCCTTGACTTGACCAGATCTAATCTGGATCCAGCCTTGGCCTTGACTTGACCAGATCTAATCTGAATCTAGCCTTCACCTAGCCTGCCCCTCTATGGTAGCCGGGTACAACTATGTTTTGCACCTAATCCGGGCAAGAGACCAAATCTAAACGAGGCTAGGTCAAGCTGAGAGGTCAAGGTGGCCAGCTCAAACTGGCCAGTGATCGATCAACACACCCTAGAGCTTGTAAGTTATTCCAAGCCAGGTCCAGCTCTGGTTTCTCGTAGATCTTTGTTGATTTGTATCCGGAAAATGACTTTATTGAGATCACCTTGGTGGGTGAGAATGGAAAAAATACTTGTGAATTTGGGGATGCAAGTTGCGGAAAAGGATTTGTTTACAAGAAATTAGTTTTGACTCAAAGCTGCACTAGTTTCTGGATTGAGATTCGGTCTTTACACGACTTTGGATCTGGTTTAGGTCGATCTGTACACTAGCTCTGGAACTAGAAAGTATTTGTTTACAAGCAATTTTGGCGAGTTCAAAAGTCCCGATAAATATTGAACAAATGACGAGAAGAGAAAAGAAAAGAAAAGAAAAGAGCAGCAATTACTAACAAAAACTTTCTTTTCCAGCTGCCCACCAATCCAAGTAATCCACCGGTTGGCTGTCCGAATTTTGGAACTTGCATCAATAATCAATATGATTTAAGCTATCCATACTATCAATGTGTCATCGGGTTTTGTCAGGTAATAAACAAACAAAAAAAAAAACATTAGCGATTAGCTACCTTTAGCTGAAGTATTAAGTTGATGCAAAAGTCTTTTTCATTTTTTTCGTACTTCTTTTGAAAAATAAAAAAGTCATCAATTAACCTATGGTTTGCTCTAAATGAAAAGTGTTTATTGTTGAATTTCCCATCTTTTTAAGTCAATTTGGGTTCACTTTCAAGCAAATTCGAGAGTGAAAACGGGTTTTTCATAAAAATCTATAAAAACCTCTATAAAGAAATTGGCTGAATCAATTTCTCTGAAAATCTGAAAAAATATCGAACTTTTTGTGCTCTATCTTTTATTTATTAACATCAAGATTGGTTTCCTTAGCTAAAGCGTCTAAAATGCATCATCGAGCCGTCGCCTTTTTTGACTACCCGACTTCAGGCTCTCGAAAAAATCTAGACATAAGACATTTTAAACTCGTTTTAATGTCATTTTGCAGAAAAATAATTGGCCTTTCGAATGCAATAAACCGTTGTTCAATTGGTGCATTTGTTACTTTTTAACGGAAGTACGAAAAAAATGAAAAAGACTTTTGCATCAACCTAATAGATGAAGTATCAAATATCCAAATATCAGAATCACGAAACTTTAGTGCAATACGGGCACTGAGAATGCGGCTTTTGCGGAAACGGCTTTCGCTCCATCGACGGTTGATCCCCAGTTTGAGCTGGCCACCTTGACCTCTCAGCTTGACCTAGCCTCGTTTAGATTTGGTCTCTTGCCCGGATTAGGTGCAAAATATAGTTGTACCCGGCTACCATAGAGGGGCAGGCTAGGTGAAGGCTAGATTCAGATTAGATCTGGTCAAGTCAAGGCCAAGGCTAGATTCAGATTAGATCTGGTCAAGTCAAGGCCAAGGCTAGATTCAGATTAGATCTGGTCAAGTCAAGGCCAAGGCTAGATTCAGATTAGATCTGGTCAAGTCAAGGCCAAGCCTGGATTCAGATTAGATCTGGTCAAGTCAAGGCCAAGGCTAGATTCAGATTAGATCTGGTCAAGTCAAGGCCAAGCCTGGATTCAGATTAGATCTGGTCAAGTCAAGGCCAAGGCTAGATTCAGATTAGATCTGGTCAAGTCAAGGCCAAGGCTGGATCCAGATTAGATCTGGTCAAGTCAAGGCCAAGGCTGGATTCAGATTAGATCTGGTCAAGTCAAGGCCAAGGCCAAGACTAAACCTATCGACTCACCCCAGCCGATCGAATCTCATTCAGCCACAAAAAAACCAGAAAACTCAAAATTTGAATCATTTCCCGAAAAAAGTGAGAAAATTCTGTTTTCTGGTTTTCTTTTATCCACGGAATACGGTATTTTTTTGGTGTTTGTGTGGGGGAAATTCGCTTTCTTTTCCGTCAATTTTTAAGCACTTTTACACAAGAAAATGAAAAAACGAGGTGGAAATGGAAAAAAGTTTGAGAAAAGAAACAGGATTTTTAAGGTATGAGCTGGGTGATTGAAGTTTTCAAAACGATTTATCTGTGACTTGCATCGATGCACACAAAGCTAGATTACAAATGCACAATTCTGCAATTAAATATAGAGATTAATTAATATTGCTCCGTGAGTAAGTGAGGAAGCAAAAAAAAAAAGCAAAACCCTTCATAAATCTCTTTTAAATTCCTCTTAATCGACCGTAACTTGGCTAGTTGACTAGTTGAGCTTTTCCAGAAACCTACCGTAATCTTGCTATTGTTTAGAATTGTCTTTGTAGTGTCCTTAAGTGGAAACACACTCTCTCTAGCATCTCAACGGCTCTTACAGCTTTGAAGCTTTACAAGGAGATTGTACTAGTACAAATCTTTAAGTCATTCAAAGATAAAACCTTATTCTTTAAAAATTTGCATATGAATTGTTTTGGCTTTCGTTTTTGGCTCGTTTTTGACTCGTTTTTTGGCTTGGGCAATCGTCCCGACTTTCCATTCAACGTAATAGCAATGTTAAAAGTGTTTTAAGATACTTAAACGACATTTGACAAGCGGATTCTTTCGTTTTCATTTCGAAAAGATTTCTAAACTAATAAACTGGCTTCATGCCTCAAAAACAGATCAGCGTTTTTATCAAGAACTCTCAAAAAAGCATCTCTAAAGCATTTCCCCATAAATCTAGGTCATCGAAAAAACTTCTGTATTCAATTTTTCCTAAAAACTAAAAAATTGGAAGCATTTTTCATATAAAAATATTCAAATCCGAGAGTTTTTTTTTATAAATCGGTCAGCGACAAAGCGAACAAAGCGGAAATATTGAAAAAGTCAAACTGTAGTTTTTTTCCCGTTCCCGGAACTCTTTTGCAGCTTTTGCAGCTTAGGCATTTATAAGGACAATGAGACTTTTTGAATCTCACTCAAACTTCAAACTTCTATTGTATTGAAAGCTTGTTGATTCGCTCTTGCAAACACACCCTTTCTGGTGCAATGAATTCTTCAAATTTTCTTGTAATTCAAAGGAAACGCTTGATTTTTTTTTTTCAAGAAAAACGAATTCAATTCACCAGAAAGATTGGTGTTTCAATTTTCTGAGCTCACCGTACACCAGAGAATAGACTTCGGCAAACAAAACCAAAACCAAAACAGACCAAAACCAAAACCAAAACCAAAACACCAAAACCAAAACAAACCAACAAACTAAACAAACAAATTTTAAATTGTAAAATGCAAATTTTAATGTAAAATGCAAATTAGCCTTTCACTTTTTCTCACTCCCCCAAAATCTCGCGGCCGAAAAAAGGACCAAAACACGACCTCGAAATTTCGAAACAAAAAATAGCCTATGGGATAGATTTTTGGATGCTGATTTCAAATCTGCAAACAGATTTTCGCTAGCTCCTTCCAGTCGCGAGATATTCGCGAGTTTTGGTTAGTTTTGGTTTTGGTTTTGGTTTTGGTTTGTTTTGGTTTTGGTTTTGTTATGGTTTTGGTTTTGGTAGTTTTGGTTTTGGTTAAGTTTTGTTTTCCGAAGTCTACCAGAGAAGATTCTATTGGTTGATGGAAAAGTCCTTTCGGATTTTTTGGTAGAGTACCTTAGGCGGAAAGGCTATTGATGATCTGAGGGTCGCTGGTTCGACTTCCACCGGTGACAATATTTTTCAAAATTTTTTTTCGTAAGTTTCTGAAAACTTGTGTCTAGGGGTTATTTTTGACGCTGATCACGAAACACATGTTTTTAGCCTAGGTTTCTGCACGGAAAACCAACGAAACGTGAAAACAGCCATTTTTTGGCTCTGCTGCCCTTTACTAAAATAGCTGTAAAAACTTTTAGAAAAGAGATATCTCAAAACGGTTTTTACCAATCGATCCGTCTTGAATTCAGCTTTAGGATGAGCTATAAAACGTCAAAATTCGACAAATTTAAGGTACTCTCCCAAAAAATCGGAAAGGATCCACCAGCCCTTTTCCACCAGCCCAATATTTTACAATAGGAATCGACATGTGTGCCTCGATGCCGTGCCCGACGAATTCAAACTGCTCCGGGATGATTAACAACTATGTTTGCTTGTGTTATCCCGGTTTATCTGGAAATTACTGTAATGAAAGTAGGGTTTTATATCTCTTTTATCTAACTAAACTCATTAAACATCTACAGTGGAACCTCTCTATAACGTAACTCACGGGACGGCTATAGCTTACGTTATATAGAGGTTTACGTTATATAGAGTGCCGTTTTATATAGCTTAACGTCGGCCGGGACCGGTCACGCCTTACGTTATAGAGAGGTTTACGTTATATCGAGGTTCGTTATAGAGAGGTTCGACTGTATTTGAAAAAGCTACCGTAATCAAATCAATCTTCCATCTGATCAACTCACTTTTTTGTATCATCCATTTTCATGACTTTTGTTTTTGCTTCTTCTAGTTTTGAGTGTTCTCTATCGCACAATCGTACAGCATCTGGCACACCGCTAGATATACATACAACAAATCCAACATCGCCAAAACACTCTAACCATTCAAAGGTCGAAGAAGCCAAAACAAAAACCACAGCGGGACTCGAACCCTAGGGTCCTTGTTCCGTAATCAAGCCCACTACCAATCGACCACCACGACATCTTCCTTTCGCTCTGGTAAATCAACTTATAGCCTTAATGTCTGTTCTGCGATTCCATACAAAACTTTGAACGCTTAAAACTGTTGACAGAGTGATGCGTTTCAAAAACGGAAAGCAGATTTGGAATCAGCGTAAAAATCTACGTTGGTTAGTATATGGCTGATGTCATTTAGCCACCACATCCTGTTGAAATTCCTTTGTAAGAAACAAGACTTAGCCAGTCGGCCATGACGGCTAATTCGGAATTAAAAGGCTCGAAAATTGGGTTGATTGAATGAAAACTGAAAACTTGTGAATTACGGTAGCTTTTCTGAGTGTCTTTTAGCTTTATAATGATTTTTTCTTTCAGCTGACACCACGTCCGGGGATCCGTGCTCGAGTTCGCCGTGTCAGGTGAGCATAGAAGTATCCGGGTTACAATAAGATATTCAGATCTAATTTATCTATATTTGGGTTACGGTATAATAGAATATTTAGATATTTGGCGATAATTCTATTTAAAAGCAAATAAATGAAATTTTCAGAACGGTGGGACTTGCACGAATGGCGGTCGAGTGGTTGGCGAGAATTACACGTGCGCTTGTGGGTCTGGTTTTTTGGGAAACGTTTGTGAGTGTGAGTCTTTTGGATCTTTTGATATGTAAATTATTTAATATAAAGTATATTTATAGGCTTTTAGAGTAGCCATTTTCATTTTCTAAACATAGTTTTTTGGATGGAAACATTTGCGCCGTTGAATCACCCTGTCAGAATGGAGGCACATGCGTCATGCTGTTTGGTGGAGTCGAACGGTTCGTTTTCTTCGAGAAATTTACATAAAAACTTTTCGAAAACATAGATTAGCTTTTAAAAGATAAAAACAAGCCTTTTAAATAAGCTGAAAGCTGTAGAGCTGTAGAGCTGTAGAGCTGTAGAGCTGTAGAGCTGTAGAGCTGTAGAGCTGTAGAGCTGTAGAGAAATTGTCAAAGCCGTGTACTTTGTGCGCCCCAACGCTTTCCACTTGGCACACTTGCCTTAGATTTATGTGCTAGAAAGCATGCGTTTAGCGGAGGACAAAAATCGATTACTAGAAAAGAAGATTTGCACTAAATTCCCTCGAACTTACTTGCTTGACATCGTCCTCCCGTATATCCAGATGGACAATCACAATGAAATGTGGAATTGAATGAGCGATGGACGACCGAGCAATTCCCACCATTTAGACAAGGAGCCGAGAGGCACATGTTCGGGACTGAAAGTGTAAAAGGCACTCTTTCTCAGCAAGGAAGAAATTCAGTGATTTCCAGCAAGGATTTGAGTATAAAAGTAAGCTTACTGTCACAATTGGTGCCAGTGTAGAGACTTAAACATTCACACGAGTACCCAGAATAGTCCGGGTAATCGACACAGAGACTCCCGTATTGACAAGGAGTCGAATAGCAGTGCATCGTGACTGCTAATCCTAAAGGATCACTGTAGTTAATTGCTACCATAAATTTGAACAATATTAGACCGAAAGGACAGATCAAAAGGACAGAGCAATCGGAGTTAAGCTCTGGATAGACGGGTCTACCGCAATCCGGCAGTTTTAACAGATTTAATGACGTGCAAATGCTCAACTTCCAATACTTTACATGTACTTTTTCACTTTAAAGTATTCAAATATATGCTTAGTACGTTAAATATACAATTAAATGCTAAAAACACTTGACAGTTGCATCATTTGTGTGGAAAAACAATTTCCCCAAAAAACGACGCTTCCTCGTTTTCTAAACTATGCCCCTTTCTGGCGCCTTTTATAGTCCATTTTTAAATCCATTCATTCATTTGTTTTTTCAAGAGAAACTCCCGAATTTCGCATTTCCGCTGATTTAACGATTTTAAAACAACATTTACTACTTAAAAATGCAAATATTTGGAAATATCGACCCATTAATGCTTCGTCTTTGACGTTTTTAACGGATTTAAAGCTATTTAGTCTAAGAATCCAAGATTTGACCCCTTCCTGTATTCTATTTATTGTTTTGCACACTAACTAATTTTCTCATTTTAGGCTGTCCACGATGAAACGAAAGACCGCATCGAGCCAGCCCACGAAGATTGCCGAGTCAAACGATGAAGAGAAAGAAGAGCTGTACGAAGTCGAGAAAATTCTCGCCGACGCCTTTCATGAAGGGGAGTTTCTCTACCAAACGAAATGGGTTGGCTACGATGAGATGACGTGGGAACCGAGAGAATCGTTCAAAGGATGTCCGCACGTGCTCATGGATTACGAGAAGCCAAAGGTGAAGCGGAAGAAGCGACGAGCCCGCTCGTCACGGTCAAAAAGTGGAATGAAGACGCCGACTCGCACGACAAAAGATGAAGAAAAGGATTCCCGAGCTCGTTCATCGATGAAGAGGAAAGCTGCAACGAGCAAAGAAACAAGTCGCGAATCTTCACCGAAGCCGAAAGCTGCAACGAGCAAAGAAAAAAGTCGCGAATCTTCACCGAAGCCGAAAGCTGGTTCAAGAGCTCGTTCAACGACAAATGTAGAATCAACGGTGGAACAAGAAGTGCAAAGTCGTGAGGTAAATTTGCTATTTGTCTATACTATTTATTTGTGTTTATGCTCTACTTAATTATATTTAAAATTTCCAGGGACAAGACGATGGTGTCGGCGACGACGATGACGGCCTCAAAGTCTGCGACCAGTTTGCCATCGCCATTCAAGAGTGCGGGATGCTGCTCGGACCCGGCCGAAAACCAATTACAGCCAGCGACCACTTCGGTATGTCTTTTTTCTTTTCAAATCTCTTAAATCTTGGTTTTAGCGATCGAGCTCGCCAACTTTTGCGAGCAGCAAGCAACTGGCGCCGACATCATGCTTCACATGGATGCCGGCGAGGTGCCTCCGCCTCTGACCGAGCAACGTGCCTTCTCGGCGCTCGATGTTTTGCTGGCTCCGCCGGTCGTGCAAGAGACGCTCGCCAAATCGCCGGCCGCCGCCCCAATCGATTGTATCAATTCGGAGAACTCGGAACAACTCAAGAACCACTACGATCTGCAATGCTATGCGACATTAATGTATTTCAAAAAGTTAATTTAATTTTGTTTTGATGTGTTTACTTGGATATTTTTTTGTTGTCTTATTTCATCGATTTTAAAATCTTGAAGCGATAAATTTTCAGTGACAATTGGAAAGGTGGATAACGTGAATATGAAACGATTTGTCAAGCGTAGCTTAAGAATTTTATCAAGGCAGTGGCTTTGCCTGTAATCGAACCAGAAGCTATTTTGTTATGTTTTAACTTTAGAAGCACATACGAATAGGAAAATCTTGATTGGGTGATCCAGAATTGAACTTCTTAACTTTCAGATAAAAGACGAACAATGTTTTTGTTAAATCTTGACAAAATTGCCACAAATTAGCCGAAGAGCTTATTTCAAGCCATCAAATTCAGCGAGGTTGCCATATTCTCGGAGCATCATCGGTAACTGTGCTCGCTATGTGTTTTACTGTGAAACCGTATCGAATCGCGATCAAAAGGGGATTTCATTCAACGATTCCTCCAACGAAAAGATCAAAAATTTGCTTTTGCCAAAGAGTCTGTAACGATGAAAACACAATCGGTCGGGCCACTTTAATTACGGTAATATCGTTTTTGCACAACCAGTCATTTGCTACATCTCGAGGCTGAGCTTTGTGCGAGTCGTTGATGGATTGATGTATTTAGTCTGTTCTGGATATAAATTTATGCAATTTAAAAATTCAAAAAATAAAAACAATCCATTTCAATAATAAAACGATATTACCATAAGGAATTACGGTAATATCGTTTTTGCACAAATAGTCACTTGCTGCATCTCGAGGTTGAGCTTTGTGCGAGTCGTTGATGGATCGATTAACACCTAAAAGTTGAGAAAATAAAGAGATACATCATAAGTTACGCTCTTTTGACTAAAAACTAAATCCTTTAGTTTACAACAATCAAAAGCTCTTACCGGAAAATGAAAGTCAAACAACGAGTGACTTTTCTTCGCCGCCAACAACAGTCGATCCGATTTCACTTTCAACAAGAGGCTAAATATGAAAAGGCTTTCAGTAGCCATGGTTTATGCACTAGATTTTTCGATGCGAGTTCTCGAAAATTTGATATTTGCAAAAACGTACTAACCTTTCTTTTGAATCTATTCTTTCTGTTGCGGGCAATTCCAATCGAATCTCCAAGAGTTCGCCTCGGAGCCAACGCATCGTCACACCTTTCGGTTGCTCGTAACCATCAAAAGTCTGAAAATATCAATAAGTAACAAAAATCACTCAATCCCAACCTCCTCAGCTTCAGTCTCGGGTGCGATACTTCCAATTTTCGATGTCGATTCTTTTGTTGGCTGTACCTCGGAAATGATTTCACTTTTCTGAAAAAAAGTAAACTCTTTAACTCCAAGAAATTCCCACAAACCCTTGGTTTCTTGAAAATTTGCATCGGTTCGATCACGCCAATCCGCGGCCGTTGCAACTTTAACGCATCGTTTGGGTTGAGCTCGATTTTGTGCTAAATCAAAAGCTGAGTTTATTTGCGCATTTTCCAATAAAATACTTGCCTTATTTTCAATCGCATCACAAACCACCATGCAGATGTAGTGCCGGAAAAAATTCGCCTCCTCCGGTTCCAAGCGTTTCTCGTAGAAGGTCGAGTTCACAATAACATCCACCTAAAAATGAAGTGACATGAGATTTGCTTAACGGATGTTAACACCAAAAACGAATACTCACCTTCAAAGCATTATCCTTTTTATTGTCTTTGATCACATCAATCTCACCGACACTCAACGGAACACGAAATGAGTGATCCCCAGCATCAATACGAGCGGCTAACTGTTGCTAAAAGTTCAGTAAATTATTAGAGATCAATAAGAAATCATTTCCGAACCTCATCAATGTCATCAATCGGTTCCGGAAGTTCTTTTGCAATGACAAATGTTCACGAAACATTTTGTCGGCTCTTTGCCCGTCAGCGAATTGTTGTAGGTTGCCTAAAAAGAGATGGCTATGATAAAATATTTGACTCTAGCATAACAGAATCTAATCAAGACAAAATTTTTAAAGAACAAACAGTTTTAAATTTGAGAACATAGCCAGGAATCGGGTAAACCGTCCAAAAATCGTTTCCCTGATTCATCTAGAACGTAGAATTTTTAATATCAAATAAAGCACAAACAAATTTTCCAAAAAAAATATCGGGTTTAAAATAAACCCAGAAAAATGATCGCATATACTTAAACTTGAACAATTTATCTTTGAAAAAAGGAAAACCAACAAAAACAAAGAAAAAAAATCACAATGCAAGTGATTTAGCTGTGAATCAACGATTTTAAACATACTCTATGAAAAAAACTTTGATTGGCCCAAATATAGAATTGGTATAGAATTTGATTCGATTGGCCCAAATTGGTATAAAATTTGAAGAACTTCCATCTGGAGTACAATGAGTCGAATGTTCTTATCGCAAACACGTCGCCTCAATCGTTTCCACAGTAATTATTTCATTTTTCTAAAGAATTTTCTATGATTTATCAATTTAAAAATGATGGTCCTAAAATTTATCTATCCACGGAATAACCATCATGATATCTACATAATATTTTAAAACCGCAAACCCGTAACTCTGTCGAATAGTTGATAACCGCAAAAAGGTCCGGCAATCGCTGTAGACCTTCAAAACGTCTAAAAAATAAATATGCAATAAAAGTGTCAAACACTCAACTGTCAAACTTACAGCGGAAATTGAGATTCGGGAAAGCTCGATCGAGGCCGAGAATGCGTAGAGAAACTCCGATCCTGGTTTGGAGGAGTGGCGGCAACGTTATGATATTGACGAGGAGGAGGAGTAGCGCTGTGATACTGATGAGAAGGGATGGCAAAAGCTGAACCCTGCCGAGCGTATTCTAAATTAAAAGATTAAAAAACTTTCCAATCGTTAATCCATACTTTGTTCCAAGTTTCTTACATTGAAAAGATTATTCTGTCGAAGAAATCCATTTAAAGAACCCTAAAAAGAGATTTCCTTTAAAAGGGACACAAATTATACTGGAGGTGCCCGATTCGCGAAATAAGCTGGCATCAAACGACCCGAGATGATCATTTCTTTGCTAAAACAGAGTAAAGATAATTTTCTCAAAGCCTCAGCTCATATTTAAGCATTGGAATAGATTTATTAAACTAAATATTGTTCTACCTTAATTTTCAAACTTCATAAATCATACATACCGTAACTCATTCTGGTCGTAGCCTGTGAGAGAGTCAAAATATTTGCACATTTTCTCGGTGCCGAGCGCCACGTCAATGTTGTCGGGTTGACTAAATAGAAAATAAATTTTGCATTGCGTGGAATGTCAATTTCTTAACCTTGTCTAATTGTAAGTTTAAGCTTTTTATCTAGACCAAACGCATACTTCAGAATGAATGGACGAAATTCAGGTCGATCATTGAGTGGCTCGAAGATGCGTTTTGGCAAATTGATTGGAACCGGGCAAAATTTCTAAAACGTAGAGTATTGTAAAAAAAAAGCAAACAGATTGGGAGCGTACCCTAGAGAGTTTCGCGTATTTCTCCAATTTTGGTGGCGGCTCATACGAAGTCGTTGGTTCCTCTTCGAACTAAAATAAAAAAGTTAAATCGTTATATGAAAATTTCCAACCTCTTCCCCGCTGTCATTCGCTACGCTAATGGCTTCCATATCTGAAAATATTTGAAAGAATTTTCAAACGTAACGGAGCCCTGCAGAGCTTACAAAAATGATTCATATCAGATTTTACCAGCAACTTTCTAAAAGTAGAGATTTCAAAAATATCTACAAATCTTCAAAATATGATGTGTTTTACCCTCCCCGCGTAATTTTCAGCCGACTCAAAAAAAAGTTTGTCTAATTCTTTCCAACTTCCCAACCCAACAAGGTAACGTTTGGTAAACCGCAAATTTCTTCAAAACATATTAACATCTTTATTAGTTTACACAAAAAAAACAAAAACAGGCACACAAAGAATATCACAAAAATATATCTAATCCCAACGAATAAAATATAAACAGGCAACACTCTTAAAAACACGAAACACGAAAATAAATAGTGCAAAAGAAAAGAAACAAACAATGATCGGATCAGAAAATGGCAAGCAGCGCGAAGACCGAATACAGTAACACACATGGATAGGCGACGAGTAATCGTTGATGATCGAGCTAAAAAATAAAAATGAGAATGCCTAACACTTATAGCTTTTCATCAGCCATTTAAAAGCGCAAGTCAAAACCTTTTACCTGTAAAGCTATCACAAACAACTTCGATGAAGCCACCGAGCACCATAGTACTGCCAACAACGACACCGAATAGCCAATAATACCCTATGAATTGTATATTTTAAGAACACTCCAAAGGTTACCTTAAATGAAAGCACCGCACACATAAGACTCAAGAGCGCCATAGGTAGCAAACAATATCCGAGTACCGAGGTTGTGCATGTGAAAGAGATGCTCTTATCACCTAAAATTTACAAGACTAATTTAAAAGCCCCCTTCAATTTGAGTTATAAATCCAAAATCAATGGCAACAATCTATACCTGCCATCAAATTCATTAGAGCATACATGCCCACACATCCGAGAGCACCAATGCCATAAATGTAGCCAAACTGCATTTTCCCGTGTAGCAAAAGTGCAGCACCTAAAGCGACAAATGAAGCCAAGTTATCATTACACTCGAGATCAAAAGCAAGTCTTTTCCGCGAAAACCTACCAAAAAGAAGACAAAATACGAGCGGACCAGCGAGATCTTGATCAGCTATCACATCCACCGATGCACCTCCCATCGGATTCAACACAGCAACCGTCTTCTCCTGAAGAAAAAAATATACAAAATATAGTCCAGTAAAATGAATAGTCAACACATTTAAGAGTTCCCATAGATTCACCTTAATATGTGAAAAGTTGATGCCGAGCTCCTCGAGAAGTGGGGGTTCATTCTCGAAATCCTCAATTCCCTCATTGCCAGCTGGTGCTAAAAGTTTCAGGTTGATCATTCAAAACCATCAAAGCACACCCGGTTGCTGTCCTGGAATGAACATGTTCCCTGACTGTGGATATCCACCATATGACGATTGCTGAGAGTAGTAGTTGTTCGCTAAATAGAAAATTATCTATTTAAAATTAACGCCGATGATCTTACCTGGGTTCGGCTGTGGCGCACTCGGTTGTTGTGGCTGCGAGTAGTCGAATTGTCCCCAGCCCATGTCTTGGCTGCCAGTCGTCGATTGCTGTTGGGCATACCTAGAAAAAAGATGTAATATTCTCAACTGAAAAACCAAATAAAAAACTATAGCAATGTCCAAAAAAAAATTTCTAATTTAAAACCTACCAATCATTTTGATTTTGATTGTATCCACTCCAATTCTGTTGTTGTTGGTCATCGCCCATCCAATAGCCACTCCCCGATGCCATCTAAAAAGGAAAGTGATCATAAAATTGTAAAAAACACGCAAATTTGATGGCAAACAAAAGTTGCTTGGAGAGAATTGGTTGAGGTAACTTATTTCAGGCTAGGAAGGAAATTTGCTGGAAGTTTTTGCCAACACCATATAGAAACCGGGTGTACAAAGGATGCTGACGGAAATTCTTACGAGATCAACGTAAAAAAACAACTTCCGACATAAAAACCAGTCTAGCAATTTTAAAAGTAGTTTTCAATATTTTCCGGATTTTCTACACAAAAATCATCCGCAACGTCATCAATAACAAAATTGGTTTATTAAAAACCACTACATTTAACAACTGTACATTTAACAAACATAAAACTTTCAATAAAACGATGCTAGATGGTGTAACAAATAAAAAATTGGCAACAACAGCAATAAATAGTTAAACGTGCATTAATCTAGACTAGACCAAGACTTTAGTGAAAGCTTGGGGAACGAAGATATGATCCCTTTTTCAGCGACCTCTTTCGAAAAGACAAAGCGGAACTCTGCTTGATCATACGAGAAGGCGGGATTTCGACTTCATCATCTTCTTCCTCCTAAAACACCAGAGATCGTTCCAATAATATTTGACTACAATTAAATTTATTGAATCTATCACATTTATCATGCTTTTCCAAAAACTGACCGTCTTTTCCTTATCATATCCACTCTTTGGACGAATAAAGTAGGTGGTGTGGCTGATTTTCGGGACTCTAGCGCGGAGATGCTGTGATTAACATATAAAACGTCCTAATTTGTAACACCACGGTTGAGGTAAATCTATTCTACCAAAAAACCACCAGTTCTTCTGTGTCCTGCTTTAGCTCCGAATCGTCAAAATGTGGCTCTTCGGCAAGACGCCTAAAAGTATGTCTATTAAAAAGGATTTTTTAGACTTTTGAGATACGTTAATGACGTAAGACTGTAGATTGTATACGAAAATAAATATTTCCCTACTTTTCTCCTCTTTTTTGAATGGCCATCATGTGATCGTAGTCAATTTGTCGTCGTTCGTCCCGTGTCAAAGATGCATAGCTCGTCGGTAGCTAGAACAAATCAAATAACCTCATTAAACTTTTGACTTTTTAGATTACTCAAAACTTACTCCAAAAATTGGTCGTGCCCACTTGTGAATGAGCTTCTGTGCAAGCCTTTTGTTCTCCGCACTCTCTTTGGGGTGCTTGGAGATTGCCATCACCTCTTTTCCCATTCCAGAACAACGAAGGGTTTCCTGAAAGCTTAGCAATAAAAAAATCGCTGTGAAACCATAAACTAACTTGTTCCAAATCATATTGCTGCAGAAGTTTAAGAATTGTCGTACGAATATCTAAGCTGGGAAGAGTATTATCAGGAAGAAGGCTCATCCAGTCGGCCAGGACAGCAATCATTCCGTTGTCGATTAGTGCATCGAATAGTTCAGACTAAAAAATTCGTTAAAATTCCTATAATACATAAGTCTCTACCTTCAGTAGCATTTCCTTAACCTTGGGAAGCAGCTTGAGTTTTTTCAAAGCTGGCACCTTCATTTCATATGACTGACGATCATTCTAAAAATTCAAGTGTTTAAACCTTGAAAGTAGGTGACAATTTTTTCGTTTACCTGAGCAGCCAATTTCATGGCATCAACTAATTTGACAATTTTATCGTCGTTGTCATTGATCACTTCGCAAGTTGGGAAAAATCTTCGACGAGCTCGTTCCTTTTTCTTTCGTTCCATCATCAAATCGAAATCCCAGGCGCAACTAAAATAAAAAAAAATATATATAATATTGGTTTTATCAAGAGAGCTCAGCTAAAGAAGGATTCAAATTTTCTCACTTGTTATTTTCAGTGCTTTTGCTTGGCTTGTCGTCATCGCTCATATCCTATGAAAACAACATAGAACCGTAATGTGAATCAACTTACCGGAAGAAAATCTCTGTCATTGGTGTTCTCAGCAAGCGATTCGACCTAAAACGTTCTAATTTGTGATTGCTTACAGGGCTTGCATTTAAATTGTTTAAAACTGAACACTTTAAGACCTGTCTCTATCAAACGTACTTTTAACTGTTTTTCAGCATTGTTTTCTAACTCTTGTTCAACCTCGTCTTCAAACTGCTGTTTAACTTCTCCAGGCTCAAGATTCTCCTCCTAAAGTGTAATTATGAAATATCGAGTTCTAAAAATTTAGCAAACCACAACGATTGATTCGTTCATCTTTGTTAAATTAATGCGCAGCTTTATTGGGGCAATCATCGCCATCTCCTTCTCTTGGTCATTATTTGGCGTTTCTTCCACTGGCGGATTGTGGTGACCGAGTGAAAGTCGCTAAAAAAGTGCATTAGTGAGATTTGAGAAGAATTTGAACGGCCTGGCGTGCTAAAACCTTCACATTTCGCATAGGATTCACTTCTTAGGCAAATCTAGATTTAATTTCAAAAATACAAAAAACCCACCAAAACGATTCGCTCATTCTTTGCAGGGCTTTTGGGAGTGTCGAGTTCCATAGCCTGAACACTGCATTTGAAAAGGATTTTGATTGGACTTAATGTGCAAAAAAAACTGAATAAACTTTACAGAGTATAAATCTACTGTAAACAGTTTCACGCTGCGCACAGAACTGAAAATTGGCTTCCAACCACTTCAAAATCTTTCCACAAAGCCTCCCAGAACATTTATTGAATGCACAAAGGAATCACAGTAGCAGAAATAGAATAAATATTTACAAGAAAAAAGTTTATCATTTCCATGTTAAGGCGAGAATTTTTGTTAACGAGTAAAGTGAATCAGCAATATCGGCGACAAAAGAAGAGACATTTAATCGATTCAGAAGAGATCCGGACAACGAGACCAATCACAACGAGTCTTGCACTCCCAATACTCGGAAGTGAACCTAAAAGAGAATATATGGAATTGAGAAGCTCAGAGCTTACTTGTGCAAAGTGTCGCCAGTAGTCTCATCTTGCTCTTTCGCAAACCACAACGGTTCGCAGTCAGCATATGGTAATCCTAAAGAATACTGTTCAAATGTTAAATACCCAACAGGATGAACCATTTTTAACGGCTTCTTCTTTTTCCTGTTCTCGTTTCTTCGCCCGAGCACGTTGTTTATCCTCAACTTCGATTTTCTTCGCATTGGCTTCTTCCCACTGAAAATTAAAACTTAACATTGATACAATTAATATCAACACTACAAACCCTTCCTTCTTCCAAAAGTCGTTGATCAGGTCGTAAACGACTATCCGTGGGAGCCACCCCATCTTCAGGCTCGTTAAGTTCAACGGCAAATCGACTAAACGAATACATCTTTGACGAACCATCACTAAATGAAAAAACCTTATTCAATTCACAAATTTATCACTTACTATTGTGGATTGGCGTACCAAATCGTTCGAGGCGCCTCGGTCTTAAGTTTTGCATTTGTACCGATGCCAGTAGACTAAATAAGAGTTGTTTATGAAGTGAGTCAAAAAAACAACCTTTGTGACACGCATGATGTCAATGTTTTGAACCCAAGTTCCACGAATCACGTAACAAGTCGCCCCATCAGAATCTTTGACCACACCAGTTACCTTGAATGAGATAATTATGCACATAATCAAAACAATCAACCTTCTTATGGGAGCTTCGGCTGAATAACGAGTATGGCGCAAAATTGAGTGTGCATTTGGTTCGAGTTTGATGTTCCACAATCTCCATCTCCCCATGATTCTCGATCCAAAGCCTCCCAACAATAATGTTGTGAACAGTGGTTGTCACCTAAAATATCTATTTTTTATCAAACACCCTAAAAGACAAACCTTTCGGAATGTGTAATGATGCCCAGTGTCGGGAAAAACAACGTGAACCATTCCCATCGGCACAACACTTAAATACTTTCCCCTAAAAGAATGTAATGAAGATGAGGTCAAGTTTTAATTCACCTGAAACGTGAAGTCATCGAAAAATCTTGGTACATTTTCCATCCGCGTCCCTCCGCGTGATGAGCAATTGCTGGTGGATGATGAGATACCTAAACACAAAAAGATTGAGATGTTCCTGTCTACCTAATTATTTAAACTTTTATCAATCCGCACCTGTTCAGCCAAGCTTCTCCATCCGAGATCCTCACGTCGATCACACTCGTAAGTCTCCCCAAGAATCGGATTGAACGGCTTTGTCGTACGATTTCCCGTCGTTGAATAACTAAAGCAATCCATAGATAAAGACCAATCATGTCAATGTTTACCTGCTTACAGCAAAAGCGGCCACATAACACATTTGAATAATTGGATCGGCAGTGACAGCTTTATCTAAGATCGAGCTGTATTCAAGATCCTCCGTCAAACGTTGCAACATCGATAGCGGCTCAGAGAAGTTTACCTAAATGATTAAAGATGCAAATGAACTGGCTAAAGCAGTACAATCCCACAAACAATCAATCAATCGCCAAAAACATTACCGGGATTGGGATTTTCGTGAGCTCTTTGCCAATGCAGTTCTTCATGATGCTCCACAAGCTGAGTGGCATTTCGGGTCGATCGGGAATTGCGCGACGACGTTGACGATTTGCTTGTTGTGCCGTTCTCACATCGGTTTTGAATATTCTCGAGTTCTAGTAACGACATATTGAAATGGATCCAGAAAGATGCAAACCTTATTCGATCCGGTTTTCGAATCTTCATCATTCGTTGAACGATTCGATGAGAACTCCCTTCGTTCGGAATTGTCTAAAGTAAAAAGATTGTAGATTAAAATAGTATGCCTCGCTCTGAGCTTTACTAAGATAGCAAGCCAACACAAAAGGAAGTAGCTACGAATCCGCAAGAATGGCTAGAAAACCCACTCAAGCTGTCAACTTGGTGCTAAACTAGCTTTAATACAACTCAAGCTTAACTCTAATCCATATTTAACCTACTAAAATCCACAAAATTTCAATCAAAACAATTCCATTCCAAAATCCCCGCAAAACTCACCGAGTGTTTGTGCATCCGAATTGATGACAATCTCTGAATCGGTGCTTTTTTTCTTTTTTCGCTTCCAAAGGCACATCATGTAAAGTTGGCGAGTTTGAATTGAGCTTAAACTAAAGAAAACCGACTAACAAGAAACGTGAAATAAAAGAACAAACCAAAAAATCAGCAGAGAAGCCGCGCTAATAATATTTCTCTGCTGGGAAGCAATTTATAGTATTATTTTAAATGAAAAATTTTCAGACGTCTGCAAATTTGATGTACTGTAGAAATTTTCGCTTCATTTGGGAGTGGGACAATTGCGACCTTTTTTTTGCGCACCCGGACATTAGCGCACCTTTTTTTCCGCACCCTGCCCATTAGCGCACCTTTTTTTCGCGTTTTAAAAAAGCTCTAAAAAAGCTAATATTAACCAATTTCTATTCCAAAAGTTGTTTTTCTAGGTAATTTTAGGGCGTAGAATCGAAATTTTGACATATCAGAGCTTGTGGAAACAAAAGGACGGAGTTATACAAAGAGAAAAATCGACAATTTTTCTGTAATTTGATCTAGCCGTTTTGTCTTTCAAATTGTTTCCACAAGCTCTGATATGTCAAAATTTCGATTCTACGCCCTAAAATTACCTAGAAAAACAACTTTTGGAATAGAAATTGGTTAATATTAGCTTTTTAGAGCTTTTTTAAAACGCGAAAAAAGGTGCGCTAATGGGCAAGGTGCGCAAATGTCCGGGTGCGCAAAAAAAAGGTCGCATTTGTCCCACTCCCCTCCATTTTGCTTTAAAAATAACTTTTTTTTCCATTTTTTCAACAGGATCTTTAGATTTCCGAAATTTTTTGCTGTTCGTTTCGAGGCACAAAACAGAAATCTTGCAAGAAATGCTCGTTTTTAGTGCTCATAAATTTAGATTTATGCCTGTTTGAGTCAAAAAAATGGTAACTTGGCAAATTTTACGCTTTTTTCATTCTTGAATGAGACTCATTTTCATATTTCTCCTTTTCGCTATAAATTTGTATGTGATGGAGACGAAAAAAGCGTTTAAAAAACAATGTGAGTGTGTGAGATTTGTGTTAAACAAGATTTCAAAATAAACTCCAGATCCAGAACTTTAGTTTAGATCCAGAATTACCTTTCTAATAGTAAATCAATGAATTTTTCTTTTTGCAGCTCAAAAAAATGGTTCATCCGATAAAGAAAATTGGTTAGTTTTTGGTCAATTTCTAAAAGGATTAAAGCTTCAATAAAAACCAAAAAGCTCCTGTTCCCGTTAAACCAAAGACGGCAGTGAAAAGTGAGTTTGTTGAAAGATTTGCTAATTCCAGTTTAATCATTGAACATTGTCCCCCTCATTTCCAGAGCATAAACCAGTGAAACCAGCGAACAAACCCAAGGTTATACCCAAAAAAGCCAGTGACAACGAAAAAAAACGACGAGAACAAAAGGAGACAAATCCCACCAAGTACTGCTTGAAAAATTGAGGTAAAGCAATGAAGTGCTGTACGTTGTGCTTAAATTTGTAAACACAACTCTTCTGGCACACTGAAATTCGCATTTTCTGATAGCTCTGATAGCTCATTTTCCGATTTTCCGATTTTCCGGCTGTGTTTCCATTTTTGAACTCCAAATAGTTGCTACTTGAGTTCAAAAGTAAACATGTATCCAGACGATCAAATCAACCGTGACAAAAAAAGCTCTCAAATCCACAAACCATTCCGAGCAAACAACGAGAAAACACACAGTTAAGGCAAATGCTTGATTTATGTGCTTTGTGTCCAAAACTCAAATGTACCCTTTTTGGCGCACTAAATTCCTTGGTTTCCTGGAGAAATAAAGCGTTTCCACAAGGAAAATGACGAATCCAGTGCGCCAGAAGGGTTACTTTTCTGCACAGGGTGCAGTACTTTGGGTTACGGTAACTTTCCCCAACTTTTAGAGACACTTCAAGGCTTAAAAACTTGTCCAAATGATTCAAATTCCAGCCAAAAGTCGTCGTAGACGTGAAATTCGTCCAAAGTTCGTCCGAAAGCCACCATTCCAGTCAAAACCACGGAAACTATCGTAGACGTGAAATTTTGAAAGCGGAATAATTTTTCAAACTTTCAAACTTTATGTTTGAAAGTTTTTAAGTGTTTACTAATAAATTCTCGAAAATCTCTTCAATTCATTTATTTCTTTGTCCTCCATTTACAAGTCGAAATGCATAAAATTATCGTGATTCACATAGCACATAGCCATATTTAAGGGATTACGGTAGGGAGCGGATAAAAGAATCGTTGAATCGTACTCGATAAACGAATCGATCGATTCGAAGATTGGTGTCAGATTCGAGCTTCCTTTTGTCCCATCTGGGATGTGCACTTGAATCATTGCATCGCCGGTGTCAATGGTTTCTGAAAGATTGCTTGGTAGATCTTTGTGGATTTCAATTCTATAGATACGAGCGGGAAACCTGGCTACGGTTTTTCCTATAGTCTGGGATGTGCACTTGAATCTATAGAATATCATAGAATATCTATAGAATATCTATAGAATATCTATAGAATATCTATAGAATATCTATAGAATATCTATAGAATATCTATAGAATTATTTCTATTATATTTGAGCATTTAAGAAAAAAGTGCAAAACGTTCGGGCGGAGACGGACTCGAACCCTCGACCTCTCCCACCTCATACCATCGCATTAGCCACTCGGCTATTGCCCCAGCCCCTCCTAACCGCCATTTCGACATGATATTCCAATCAGACACACTTCAAAATTATGTAAAGGTTAGATGTCTGGACTTACTCTATCTAGTTTTTATAAATCTTAAAAAAACTACCGTATACTAGACATATTGTAATGTTAAAAATGCTTACTGTAATGTTGTAATGCTGTAATGCTTACTGTAATGTTAAAAATGGCTATGGCATCAAAAAATTTCATTGATCCAACTGTCTTAAGGCTTCTTAAAATAAACCCAGACAAAACTACCGTTAGACAGACAGCTACAATAACCAAATGCTCTTAAATCAACCAATTGACCAGTACTTTAGGTTCAAAGAATGTAAACGCACTCCTTCTAGCACACTCAATTCTTCACTTTTCCCCCAACAACGAATACTCGAGCCAAAAAGGATATGTTTCCTATGTTTGAGCCAAAAAAAAGTCTATCACATTTGAATGAATTCAATTCCTCACCCAGCACTTCTTCGACAACTTTCCCTGCCGCATAATCACTTTCCGCATAAAGTGGAGCCATCTTAAACGATCCTTCCGGTAAAGCCTTTGAAATGAGAGTGAATGCACGAATCTTTCCCAGCTCATCAATCAAAACTCCTCCATGCAAAAATGGAAGAGATTTCAAGGATCGCAGTAAATCTTCACGATTTTTGCCCGTTACCTAGAGTTTTATTGCAATGATTTGCTCAGAAAACTTTTTGCTTGCTTTTTTGCTTGCTTTTTGCTAAAACTTTTTGCTAAAAGATCCCCAGCTACCATGGTCTAACTAGGAATTTGACTAAATTGCGTAAAAATTACGCCGAATAAATTGCCATTTAGGAGACGAGCTCTTTGTACAAGTCTGGTATCAAAATGTAGCCCTTCAAATGGGCTACACGATTGTATAAGGAAACTTTTAGAAAAACTATTATTTAGTACAAGAAAAATAGCCGCAAAATGAGAGTATCGACTGTACATCGCAGTACTAACAACGACGTGTTGCTTTTGTTGGTGCTCTCGCTAGGGAACTAGGGAACTGGTGAACTAGGGAACTAGGGAACTAGGGAACTAGGGAACAGGTGAACTAGGGAACTAGGGAACTAGGGAACTAGTGAACTAGGGAACTGGTGAACTTTTGCCAAACTCCGAAACTCCGAACGGCTTTAAAGGGGCCTGGCTACCGTAATCCGATCTAAAGCTTCATATCCAATCTAAAGCTTCATACCAGATTCTCCTTATTGAATTTTGCGTTTCCTCGTTTCCTATTGTGATTTCTGGATCGGTGCTTTTTGTTGGTGCTCTCACTTTGCTCATCATTTTTCTTGTACTAAACAATCGTTTTTCTAAAAGTTTTCTTATACAATCGTGTAGCCCAATTGAAGGGCTAGATTTTGATACCAGACTTGTACAAAGCGAGATAAATGGTAACTCCATTCGGCACAATTTCCGTTTTCACACAGCAGGGCAATTTTCATAAATCCCATAGATGTGAATGCTTTCAAAAAAGCACTACAATACCTTTTTCTGGGACATCTTTTAGACAAACACTTCAAACTTTTTATATAATTTTTATTTGTTTTCAAATTTTTCCGAATTTTCAGTGATCAAATTTCAATTGTCGTGACGTTTCTCATAAAATTTGAATCAAATAAAATGAAACCTTTGAATCAAAGCTGCACAAAGCGTCGAATTGTTGGGAATTTAATTTGGAGAAAGCGATAAACGTGAAGAGTTTTTCCGCATCATCGATCAATGAATTCTTTTTTTGGAGAAGCCGGGAAACTGTCTGAAAATTCAATTGTTGATCAAAAGTTGATCAAAAGGGAAAAGCAAGTACACGATGGATGATGGAATTTTGTGAAAGCATTGCAATATTCACATTGAGTACTTGTTCTCCAGTAAAACCCTTGCTTTCTAGTGTGCTTTCTGGTGTGCCAAATAGCGTGCTTTTGTCAGAGCACAAAGTACGGATTACGCTTTTTGATGATCACTTTTTTGCAAGTATACGATGGATGATGGAATTTTGTGAAAGCATTGCAATATCCACATTGAGTACTTGTGCACCAGGAAACCCTTGCTTTCTGGTGTGCTTTCTGGTGTGCCAAATAGCGTGCTTTTGTCAGAGCACAAAGTACGGATTACGCTTTTTGATGATCACTTTTTTGGACTTGAACTGATCAAAAAAAATTCTTATCTCTAATCAATTTTATAGAATATTAGACTTTAGAAATATAAAGCTTACTTAATTTTGAACTGTTTACCATAGTTATATCATATTTTTCTATCCCAAAACTCACCAACAACTCATTTTTCTTCGGCTCAACACAATTCTGTGATGGACCAACATAAGGAAGGCCATTTGCCATGTATTTAGGCATCATTTCTTGTTCTGAAAACGATATTGATAAGATTTTGCCATAGAAATTCTTAAAATTCCTATTTTGTTCCTGTTTTTCTTTTTCAAACTCACCCGATTTCAGCATCAACGGCTTATTCTTATCAATCCGATTCAACATTTGTTTCCACATTCTCGGACCGATTCCTCGTCCGCGATACGCTTCAATCTGAATGTAAATATGGAAAGGAAAAGTCTTTTAGCTTTCTGATTTAGGAAAGCTTTCGTTTACCTTATTTTTGTAAAAATAACAAAAACGATTAGCCGCATAGGGGGCTCGAACCCCTGACATTCAGATTGCTTTCGATTCGTAAAAGTCTGACGCTCTACCAACTGAGCTAATGCGGCACTGGGTGCGGCGGGGAAAAGAGGCACTTATCAAAAGAGGTCGCCATGAAAATGGATCAACTTACAACATAGTACGTATCAATGCAATCAAAACTGATTAGCCGCATAGGGGGCTCGCATTCGATTCGTAAAAGTCTGACGCTCTACCAACTGAGCTAATGCGGCAGCTAATACGGCTGTGGCACTGGCCGGGAAAAGAGGCACTTATCAAAAGAGGTCGCCATGAAAATGGATCAACTTACAACATAGTACGTATCAATGCAAATCAAATCCTCATTGTCAGCCCAAACGATCGATCCGACGAATGATTTGTCTGAATAAAGTCTAGAATTTACATTTGAATTGATTCCTTGATTCAAGTTTGATTCACGAATTTACACATAAGTTACCTGATTTCAGAATTGCCACCACCATTTTCACGTTTTCTCCAGTTGGGAATAAGGTGAGCATTGTGTAGTCAAAACCGCACCAGCCAGTCTGAAAGATGAAACAGTCAACTAATGAATAAAGTGCTTAGATCCTGAATGCTTTTGATTTGCAACTTCGATAAAGCTTTGAAACTTTGAAACAGTTCAACTAATTAATGAAATGCTTTGATCCTGAACCTTTTTTGATTTTACAACTTTGAAAAAGCTTTGGCTTTGGCTTAGTTTGACCTGGCTAATCATTGTTTTTCCCGTCTAGGAACAAGTCATAGTTTTTCCCTTTGATTTGAAACATTGAAACAGTTCAACTAATTAATGAAATGCTTTGATCCTGAACTTTTTTTGATTTTATAACTTTGAAAAAGCTTTGAAATTGACTTTAGCACTAAATTTCTATGAAAGTGAAATTGTAAACAAAATTTGAATGGCTTAAAGATAGGGTTGCTCCTAGAAAGGAAAAACTATGACTAGCCAGGCTAAGCCAAGCCAGAGGCAAAGCTAAACCAGATCAAGCTGTCGTTTGGCTTTGGCTTGACTGTCTTACTATTACCTTTGTTCTACTACCATTCTTTGCCAAATCTTTGTCTAATCCTAACCCATTGAACCCATGGAATCTTGCCACTCGAAGATTGTCAGTGAATCAGTGAAACAATGCGGACCGAGAATCAATTCCCCAGGTTGATGTCAAGCCAAAGTCAAGGAATAGTCACGGCAAAAACCTTGAATTGACCCGAAGAAGCAAATAAATTGTTTTTTGAAAAAACAAAAACAATTAGCCGCATAGGGGGCTCGAACCCCTGACATTCAGATTGCTTTCGATTCGTAAAAGTCTGACGCTCTACCAACTGAGCTAATGCGGCACTGTGGGGGGCGGAGAAAAGAGGTCCCTATCAAAACGGATGAAGCTAGTTTAAGTCATTGGTTTTTGTCTTTTTAGCATTGAAACGGATATCAAAATGAACAAAATGGACAAAATGAGCACAGAAATCCCAATGCCCAAATGAGAACTCACTTTCATCACTTCGAAATTGTAGTACCCACCTGAAGAATCAAATTCTTCCATTGTTTCCAATGTTCTTCAGTCGGTGTGTCCACGATTTCCACTTCAGCGTTCATTTTTCAAAAATAATAAAGCATCTTTCGAATCAAAATATCTCTTTTCCCAGTCTGTGTTTGATCTCTCAAGATCGAGACCAATCTGCACATTTTGTAGCCGAGTTTTTGTGAGATTTTTGCAGAGAATAAGAAAAAAAAAAATATAGGGAAATATAGGGAAAATTGGGAGAAAGTTGGGTCACTCAATTGGACTTTTGAAAGAAAAAGAATTGAAAAGTCGGGGGGATTTCTTGAGAGCAAAAGGTAAATAAAGAAAGATTTTGTGAAGTGAAGAAATGATATCTTTTGAAATAGCCAATCAGTTCTGAAGGTCAACGGATGGAGAGAGAAATTGAAGTTTTGAGTGATATCATGAGAATTGAGTGTGTTTTTTTTTTCGCCATCGATTCATCGCCATCTGTTCCATTTTGCTGATTGGCTTCCATGCAAACGATGGCAAAGTTGAAGGAGATAATGTTGGACCTGAAAAATGCAGTGAGAATTGCTTGGTTTCTTGGTAACTAGCTACAGTAGCAGAAGATGTAAATAGTTATTTACATCTTCTGCTACTGTAGCTAGTAAATTGGCTTGAATAGCAGAACAAGATACAACCAGGGGTTGTGTGGCTCCATTTTCCATGGCACTCAATTCTCATGATTTTTGAGGAGATGGCTTTCGTTGGAAGGACTCGGACTTTAATTAGGATAGATCTTCATCTATCCGTTGACCTTCAGAGCTGATTGGCTATTTCAAAAGATATCATTTCTTGCTAGAGTTCCTAGATAACTTTAAATCAAGAATTTCTTCTAAAGCTTTAAATGAAATAAAAAATTCTATCAAAATGTAGCTTTTGCTTTGTGCTTGTTTAAAGTTTAAAGTTTAAAGTCTTAAAAAAGTAATTTTTGAGTTTAAAAATGGCTTTAAAAAGACTTTATCACATTCAAAATAAAAGTTTTAGCAAAAAAAATCTATATGGGAAGCTTATGGAAAGCGTTTTCACCAGAAAAGATTCGATTTCACTTATTTGAACATAAAGAACATATTTAATAATCTTTAAATATAATATTTAAAGGTTTAAAAGTAATTTAAAGCTAAAGGTTAAGGCTCAGGTTAAATTTTAAAAGTTTAAGGGTAATTTAATAGTCTAAAAACTATCCTTTCCTATCTTTTATCACTTTTTTTCTTATTGCACAATCACCAGCAAATTGCAGAGAAAAGGAAGGAAGGAAGAACAAGGAAGCTTGAAGAAAAACTGAACAAAAAAAGCGTTATCTTGAAATTTTGATAAGAGATCAAAGAAAAGTCAACGATTTTTGACTACAAATGAAAGAATTGTATAGATTTGTGCTAAAGGTAATATTTGTAAATCAACGAGATGCTATTAGATACATATTATTGGGTTGGTGGAAAAGTCCTTTCGGATTTTTTGGGAGAGTACCTTAAGGAGTACCTTAAGAAGAGTACCTTAAGAAGAAGAGTACGAGTACCTTAAGAAGAGTACCTTAGAAGAGTACCTTAAGAAGAGTACCTTAAGAAGCCAGGAAGAGCTTGAAAGATTTTGCATCGAAATCCTGCCAGTTTGTTTTCCTTTTTCCATGTTTATTAGATTCGCCTACTAAAATATTGTCGTCGATAAAATAAGAACAATAATCGATAGGATCTTGAAAAGTACTGAAGTCAAATCCAAATCGTTCTTCATCAAAAATAAATGGTGTAGGAGACTCTCTTACATCTTTCCAACCATAAATAAACTGCTTCGGAGTCAAAAATGTCAAAAAAGGGCTTGGTCCGTAGACGAAAAAAAAGAAAAAACGCTGCGGTTTCGAATGGGTTAAATTTGTCCAATTTTGACTTTTTATAGCTCATCCTAAAGCTGAATTCAAGACGCATCGATTGGTAAAAACCGTTTTGAGATATCTATTTTCTAAAAGTTTTTACAGCTATTTTAGTAAAGGGCGGCAGAGCCAAAAAGCCAAAAAATGGCTATTTTCATGTTTCGTTGGTTTTCCGTGCAGAAACCTAGGCTAAAAACATGTGTTTCGTGATCAGCGTCAAAAATAACCCCTAGACACGCATTTTCAAAATCTTAGCAAAAAATTTTTGAAAAATATTGTCACCGGTGGAAGTCGAACCAGCGACCCTCAGATCAATAGCCTTTCTGCCGCTTTTCGCGATTTTCCTTCATTTTTCCCCTTTTTTTTGTTTTCCACCAACCCAATAGATTGTCTAGAAAGTCTTTACATCCTTCCTTTTCATACTTCCTTTAAAAAACAAATGAAACAAAACAAATGAAACAAAAAAATCGTTGTTATGGAAAGCTTTTTCACCAGAAAAGAAGCGATTCCCCTTATTTAAGCATAAAGAACATTAATATTCTTTAAATTTAACATTTAAAAGTTTAAAAGTATCAGCTACATATTAGATTGTCTAGAAAGTCTTTACGTCCTTCCTTTTCATACTTTCTTTAAAAAAACAAATATTCACTAATTAATCTATGATTACCTTTAAAGAAAAAAGCCTTTTTTTAGTTCAATTTCATATTTCTTAAGTCAATTTCGGTTCACTTATGACGCTAAATTCGAGAAGGAAAACAATGTTTTGTCGTAAAGATCGATAAAAACCTCTTGGCTGAATGAATTTTTCTGAAAATTCACCTATATACCAATCATTTTGTGCTCTATCTTTTATCTATTGACATAAAGATCGGTTTCCTTAGCGCAAAAGTGTTCTTAGCATCATCGAGTCGTCACTCTTTTTTCACTTAGACTTCAGGCATCCAAAAAAAAACATTCAAACATTGGACATTGGATTGAATGGATTGAATGGATTGAATGGATTGAATGGATTGAATGGATTGAATGGATTGAATGGATTGAATGGATTGAATGGATTGAATGGATTGAAGCATTAGAAAAGACCAAACATTGGATTGAAACATCCAAACATTAATATTATTTAGCAGAAAAATAATTGTTTTTTTCGAATGAAACAAATCGTAGTTCAATTGATGCATTTGTTTGTTTTAAACAAAAGTACAAAAAGAAACGAAAAGATTTTCTGGACAGCAATAGCATCTTTCTAAAAGACAGAAAGTCAAAATTTATACGCAAATTCGTTTTTTATCACTTTTTCTTTCTATTGGGTTGTCCAGTTATGAATGCGCGTTTTTTACTATTTTGTAAATTTCTCAAGATACCGAAATCAAGAAAAAGATATCTATGAGTATTATTCGAAAGCTGAAGATCTCCTCTACATTTTGATATAAAAAGCTTTTGAATTCGTCCAGCTTTTGGGGCAAATTGACTGCACAGAAGAAGAGGTGGCCAAAAAATGGAAGGGTGCCTTTGGATCAAGTTTTGGCTGCGCTCAAATTGAGTTAACCGTTTGATGTTTGACCAATAGATATATCAATACAACTTTTTTAAAAATATAACAATTTCAGAGCATCTTTACTTTTTTTTCCTGGGCGCTTACACCATAAAACTTGAGGAATAGCTAAGCTGAAATGTTTTTTTTTTCGGAAACGACCTCTCCCTTTGTGCAGTCAATTTCCCAAAAAGTTGAATGAATGCAAAAACTTTTTTATTCCAAAATGTAGAGGAGATTTTCAGCTTTCGAATGATATATAACACCCATATACATCTGTTCGATATCATGAGAAATTTACAAAATAGTACAAACGCGCATTCAAAACTGGACAACCCAATAGATTTTTTTCGCATTTTCTCTCTTTGATTTTAAATTCATTTAAAATGAGACAGAATTTGTTCGATTTTTCAACGAAAAGATACAAAATTGAAAGAAAAAGTGGGGGAAAAAAAGGGGGGTAATGAGTTAATGATGTGGAAAATTGTTGGGAAATGTTTTTTTTTAATTGAATGGGCACATTTTCTAGGCTTTCTGTTTAAATTTAGATAAAAAGTTAGATAAAAAGTTAGCTAAAACGCTAGATCAAATGTTAGAATACAAAGTTTTATATTTAGATATTTCGGCAATTGATTTGACTGCTCTGTGATTCTTTCTTGAGGTATCTATTATTTATCTTTTGGGTGTGTCTCGAGTGGTGTCCCGGGTAATTATTGTGATTTTGTTTTGTCGCTATTCAACTGAATAAAGCACATAACTAGATATTCAAAAAAGCTTCTATCTTTGAAATCTTTGTACCCCTTTTTCTGTGTAATTTTTCTCATTTTACTTCTTTTTCTATGAAATTACGGTCAAATTAAGCGCTTTTTATCAAGAATTTTCTAAAATCGAATAAACTTTATTCGTTTCTCAATATGAAAAAAGAAAAAAGGATAAATTTGAAAAAATTTGAAAATTTTGAATAAAATAAGTAGCAATTAAGAGATTTAAGGGGAATTGATTCTCGGTCCGCATTGTTTCACTGATTCACTGACAATCTTCGAGTGGCAAGATTCCATGGGTTCAATGGGTTAGGATTAGACAAAGATTTGGCAAAGAATGGTAGTAGAACAAAGGTAATAGTAAGACAGTCAAGCCAAAGCCAAACGACAGCTTGATCTGGTTTAGCTTTGCCTCTGGCTTGGCTTAGCCTGGCTAGTCATAGTTTTTCCTTTCTAGGAGCAACCCTATCTTTAAGCCATTCAAATTTTGTTTACAATTTCACTTTCATAGAAATTTAGTGCTAAAGTCGATTTCAAAGCTTTTTCAAAGTTGTAAAATCAAAAAAGGTTCAGGATCAAAGCATTTCATTAATTAGTTGACTGTTTCAAAGTTTCAAAGCAAAGGGAAAAACTATGACTTGTTCCTAGACGGGAAAAACAATGATTAGCCAGGTCAAACTAAGCCAAAGCCAAAGCTTTTTCGAGCGGCAAGATTCCATGGGTTCAATGGGTTAGGATTAGACAAAGAGTTGGCAAAGAATGGTAGTAGAACAAAGGTAATAGTAAGACAGTCAAGCCAAAGCCAAACGACAGCTTGATCTGGTTTGCGTCAAAAAAGGATCGATAAGGCAAAAAGTGAATAAGAAAAAAAGCACATTTACTTACAGTAATCTG